TATGCACTAATGAGTCTATCTAACTGGCCTTCCTGCCTCCACTGCCAGTCCTCTCCCATCCGTCCTCCCCACAGCTTCAGGATTATTCTCTCTAGTCTGCTTAAAGAACAGCCTTGCATGGCCCTGCAGAATAAGGCACCAACTCCTGAGCAGAAGGATGAAGCCCTCTTCGTCTGCGTCACCCCCAGTCCACAGTTCTGGCCTCAGAGCCCACCTTCTCCCCTTTGAGGCCCACCCCCACCCACCTCCATGCTCCATGTTCCCCTGATACCCAGAGACACTGGCTGGTTTCCCAGACACACATGTACTTTCAGGGCTCAAGTTTTCTGAGCATCTCATCCCTTTTTCTTTTTCTTTTCTTTTCTTTAAGAAGGAGTCTTACTCTGTTGCCCAGGCTGGAGTGCAGTGGTGTGATCTCGGCTCACTGCAACCTCCGTCTCTCAGGTTCAAGCGATTCTCCTGCCTCAGCCTCCCGAGTAGCTGGGATTACAGGTGCACGCCACTACCCCCGGCTAGTTTTTATATTTTTAGTAGAGACAGGGTTTTGCCAGGTTGGCCAGGCTGGTCTCGAACTCCTGACCTCAGGTGGTCCACCCACCTTGGCCTCCCAAAGTGCTGGGATTACAAACATGAGCCACTGCACGCAGCCATCCCTATTTCTTAAAATGCCTCTGCCCCTTTCCAGTGAGCTCCTATGCATTCCTCAATGACGAGCTACAATTCCTTTCCCTGATAAACGCAGAGTTTGCCCCACTTTCCTTATTGCATTGCTGGTCCTTGTAGACATCCCTGGATTAGTTCTCTTCTCACCCTGGGTTCACTAGGCCTCTGGAAGGGCTGAGGACCCCTTGGGGTCACCTTTGTCTCCCCAGGGCCAGGCCCAGCTCTTTCTACTCTTTGGCTTGGTACATATTGGCTCTTGTGGAATAGAAACAAAGGCTATTTTCCAGGAATTGGGCGGCTTTTGGGAATAGCCAAGGATGCGGAAGTGAAAACATACTTACAGTTTTTACGGTTTTTTTTTTTTTTTTTTTTTTTTTTCCCTGAAGCGGCAGTGGAGGGACAGCCTTGAGAAGTTCAGAATTCAGGAAAAATGCAGCTTGAGACCCCAATTGCCTTACAAGGCCCTTTCACTTTCCCTTGTGCCCTGAAGCTGAGTTCAAGGCTCACTGTCGTTGTCCTCAATTTATTTTCCCTGGTTTGGCTTCTTTAAACTCACTGCTTTTGAGTTCCTGCAGCCGACAGGAAACTCATGAATAGTGTTAGAAACAAAACGCAACACAAGCTAAGGCCTTTTAGTTGGGAGAACATGCTTTATTCTTTCTATTAAATGCTTCTGTGGGCCAGCCTGGTAGATGCTGAATCAATGCTCGTGGATTTCATAGTAGGAAATGTTTGTTTGCAGACCATCAGTGCTCACATTTATAAAGCTGGATTATGGTCCCTCCTGACTTTATCTCAGGCGAGAGTTGAAATTTTGCCGTCATCGTGCTCCTTTCATTTCCTTGTTTAGTTCAGTTTCCCCACCTTGGTGTTGTCTCCCGTTCTTCTCTGGTTCGGCTCAGTCATCCAGGCCCAGCAGCACCATTGCCTTAGATGAGGGTGCGGTGATGCTGGCAGTGTGGCTCTTGGCCCTTGGTGAGCAAGTCTGGTCACAGCAGGGCACGGGGCTGAGGTCCCCAGCTCCAGCAGAGAAGCTCCCCTGGGTCAGATGGTGGGTGCCCTACTGGTTAAGGTTAAGGTCAACAGGGCAACTTTTGCTGGGTGATGCCCATGGTAGCTGATCCTGCCGATGCTTCTCTGTCTGCTGAGAAGCTCCTGTGACCAATGCTCTTTGGGCAAACACTTGACTACCTGGAAGAGCTTAGTCTCTGCCCTGCACTGTGGTGTGCCCAGTGCCAGCTGCCTCCCTCCCTTCTTGCTGGTTATTTGTAAATCTGCTTAGTGTCATGGTGGGATTGACCAATGCCAGGGAGACAAGGGGGCGGCGGGGTGAGGTGAGCAAATGAGTGCAGGCTTCCCACAAAGTGCCTGTTTCTCCTTAACCACTGACTCGCCCCTAGACTGACACAAATGAAGGGCTGCCCGTGCAGACGGGGAGCTCATGCTGGTCTGGAGCAGAGTGATCACAACAAAAGCAGGAGGTGCCAAGGGTTCTAGATGGTGGGCAGGTTGCTGGGGTCCAGGTTTCAGAACAGCTCGTTCATGCGGTAAACTCTAGGAGTTGGTTTCATGGAAACCATTTGGAGGAAGAATTGTTTGGGTTCTCAGTGTTGCGACTGTGTCATGTAAGCTAGAGAAGTGGAGGAGATGCTTTTAAAAATCCCGTCTGTTCCAATATTTTAGCTAGATAGGACCTGCCAGATACCTAGATTTTTAGTGGACTTCTCTTTGCTCTTAATCCAGGCCACAGAATTCTTTCATGTACAAAGTAAGTGGATAGATTTGCTTTCCTTTCATTTACTCATTTAGTCAACAAATGTTTATTGGACATTGTGCTGAGCCCTGGAAACATGAGCTCCACACAAAGCCTGTCCTTGGAGCTTGCATCTAAATGGTGACACAGACAGCTACGCCATGATGCAGTCAGAGCTTTGAGAGGGTATCTCAGTTTCTTATTGCTGCAGTAACAAATTACCAAACTTAGTGACATAAAGCAACACGAACTCATTCATTTACAGTTCTGGAGATCAGAATCTCAGATCTAATCTGAGAATAGGGGCCACAGGGCTCTATTCCTCCTGGAGGCTCTAGGAAAGAATCTACTTCTTCGCCTTTTCCGGATTCCAGAAGCTACCTGTGTTCTTTGGCTCATGGTCCCTTCCTCTATCCCCAAAGTCAACATGGTAGCATCTTATCTCCCTGACTCTTACCCTCCTACCTCCCCCTTATAAGGGCCCCTGTGATTACACTGTGATCGCCTGCACAAACCAGGATAATCTCCTTGATTAAATCACATCTGTGAAGTCCCTTTGCCATGTCAAGTAGCATGTTCACAGATGCGGGGGGTTAGGTCATGGACATCATTGGGGGCCCAATATTTAGTCCATCACAGAGGCCAGTGCTGGTAACATGGGATTATCTGTTAAAGAGGTCCAGAGGGCCGGGCGCGGTGGCTCAAGCCTGTAATCCCAGCACTTTGGGAGGCCGAGACGGGCAGATCACGAGGTCAGGAGATCGAGACCATCCTGGCTAACACGGTGAAACCCCGTCTCTACTAAAAAATACAAAAAAAAAACTAGCCGGGTGAGGTGGCGGGCGCCTGTAGTCCCAGCTACTTGGGAGGCTGAGGCAGGAGAATAGTGTGAACCCGGGAAGCGGAGCTTGCAGTGAGCCGAGATTGTGCCACTGCACTCAGCCTGGGCGACAGAGCGAGACTCCGTCTCAAAAAAAAAAAAAAAAGAGGTCCAGAGAAGGTGTCTCAGGAGGAATGTTATCCAGACCAAGACCTGAGGTGTTACAGCGGGTAGCTCGTTAGGTTTGAGCCGGGAAGGAGAGGGCTCCCCACCCCGCCCCACACACTAGGAGTGCTGGATGACCACCAGGTGATGGTCAGGCAGTTGTTAACTGTTTCTCTAAAGGAATGATTGGTCACAGCCAGTGCCAGGGAAAGGCAGGCTCCTCATAGAAAACACCTGAAACCAATCAGCAGCTTCCCAATAAGATCTCAGGAGTAGGAGAAGTAAGGCGAGGTCCCGGAAGTATGCCAGCGTAGAAAACCCCAGGTAAAGCGGTCAAGCCTCACACTTGGTTTCTCAGGTCGCCTATGTAGCCGTCTTCCAAGTTGGACTTTGCTTCTTTTCCTTTCCTTACTGTTCTAAAGCTTTTAATAAACTTTCACTTCTGCTCTGAAACTTGTCTGTTTCCCCTCCTGCCTTATGCCCCTCAAATTCTTTCTTCTGAGGAGGCAAGAATTGAGGTTGCTTCAGATCCGTACGGATAACTAACACTGGTAACAGAGGGACAAGTGTGATTTAGCAGAGGGGAAGACCATGATGTATGAAGGCCAGGGAAGGAAAGAGGGGTGCAGTGTCCGGGCTGTGGAGTATGACAGTGACCACGGGTGAGGCTGCTGCAGTCTGCAGGGCTTTGGAGGCCAGGTAGGGCTTCTGAGGAACCAGGTGTGGCTTTTTTTTTTTCTTCTTTTTTGATCTGGAGTCTTGCTCTGTTGCCAGGCTGGAGTGCAGTGGTGTGGTCTCAGTTCACTGCAATCTCCGCCTCCCGGGTTCAAGCGATTCTCTTGCCCTAGCCTCCTGAATAGCTGGGAACACAGGCGCACGCCACCAAGCCCAGCTAATTTTTGTATTTTTAGTAGAGATGGGATTTCACCATGTTGGCCAGGATGGTCTCGATCTCCTGACCTTGTGACCCACCCGCCTCGGCCTCCCAAAGTGCTGGGATTACAGGTGTGAGCCACCGCGCCCGGCCCAGGTGTGGCTTTTAATCATGGACAACCCGTGAAGAGATTCGTACTTTAAAGTCATGCAGCCAAGACGAGGCTGAGAACCATAGAACTTCAGAACTGGAAGGAACTTGACAAAGCATTTGACCTAAAAGACCTAAGAAGTAAATGGGCCGGAAGCCCCCAGAGAGGATCCGGATGGGAGGAACCCTCATTCTAGCCACAGCTCTGAGAGCAGAGCTCAGCGGCCCTCAGAGCACTTTGGAGGTAGTACAGTCTTAGTTTTCACAAGCACGCTGTGAGTGCAGACGTTTGCAGTGGAGGAGATAGAAAGTCGGCCGACGAGGCCATGGTCACTCTTTCAGCACCTGGTAAGCCTGAGGCTTCAGCGGAGGCTGTCTCTCTCCAAGCCAAGGGCCTGGTTCTCTCTCCCTGTGGCCCTGGAGCTGAGAATCCCATCTTCTGCCCAGTCGCCCCACACGCTGCCAGACCTCACACCAAACCCTTCCTCTTGGGACCAGAGGGTTCGAGGTGTATCTGAGCTGGGCCTTTGGAGAGAGGGCAGCCACTGTGAGTTTCTTCTGTTTCCTGTCCCTAGCCCTGGAACAGCTGCTGACGGAGTTGGATGACTTCCTCAAGATTCTTGACCAGGAGAACCTGAGCAGCACAGCCCTGGTGAAGAAGAGCTGCCTGGCGGAGCTCCTCCGGCTTTACACCAAAAGCAGCAGTGAGTGTGGGCCCCGGGCGGTGCAGAGGCCTCCACGCAAATAGAGATGGCTGTGAGTCAGTGTGGGCTGCCATAGCTAAGGACCACAGGCTGGGTGCTATAAACGACACTTCTTTTCTCACGCTTCTGGAGGCCAGAAGTCTAACATCAAGATATCAACAGGTTTGGTCCCTTCTGAGGCCTCTCTCCCTGGCGTGCTGATGGCTGTCTTCTCCCTGTGTCCTCACATGGGTTTTCCTCTGTGTCTGTGTCCCAATCACCTCTTCTTCTTTAATTAACTTTTTTGAAGCAGAAGCTCGCTCTGTCACCCAGTTTGGAGTGCAGTGGTGCGATCATGGTTCACTGTAGCCTCAAACTCCTGGGCTCCCAAGTAGCTGGGTCTACAGGTGCATGCCACCATGCCCAGCTATCTTTTTTTTTCTTGTATTTGTTTTTTGTAGAAATGGAATTTCACCACGTTGCCCAGGCTGGTCTCCAGCTCCTGGGCTCAAGCCAGCCACCCTGCCTGGGCCCCTCAAAGTACTGTGTGAGCCACTGCACCCAGCCCTAATCTCCTCTCTCTCTTTCTTTGAGACAAGGTCTTACTCTCTTGCCCAGGCTGGAGTGCAGTGGCATGATCTCAGTCCACTGCAATCTCCACCTCCCAGGTTCAAACGATTCTCCTGCCTCAGCCTCCAGAGTAGCTGGGATTACAGGCGCCCGCCACCACGCCCAGCTAATTTGTATTTTTAGTAGAGACAGGGTTTCACTATGTTGGCCAGGCTGGTCTCAAACTCCTGACCTCAGGTGATCCACCCACCTCGGCCTCCCAAAGTGCTGGGATTACAGGCGCAAGCCACTGTGCCTGGCCTTAATCTCCTCTCTTTATAAGGATATCAGTCATAGTGGATTAGGGCCACCCTAATTATCTTATTTTAACTTAGCTACCTCTTTGAAGACCTATCTCCAAATGCAATCATATTCCGAGGCATACTGGGTGCTAGGATTTAATATACCAATTTAATATACGATGGTGCAGGACTGACCCGACTTGGGCTGGAGCCCTAGAAATCTCTGGCCACTTGACACAGCAGCCTATGAGTGAGGTTTTAAATGAAGTATTTTCAAAGCACTCTTCCCTGCTGGTTGAAAGTAGAGATGCAATAATGAACTATAATAATAGCTAGGGCTTACTGAACAGTCTCATGAGTATATGTAATAACCCATTTCATCTTTAAGACATCCCTGTGAGGCTGGTGCTATTGTTATAGAGGGGAAAACTGAGACCTGGAGAGTTTAACCTGCCCTGTATTACACAACCCAAGGGAAAACATAGTTGGAAGACTTTGTAAATTACAGAACCCTGAATCCATAATTTTTCTGTCTTTTTAAAATTGAGATCATTTACCTATAAAGTGCACATATGTGAAATAATTCAGTGAGTTTTGATAATTGTATACCCCTGTCTCCTCATCACCCAGAACAAGATATAGAACATTTCCATTATCCAGAAAGTTCTGTCTTGGCCATTCCCAGCCGCCGAACACAAGCAACCATGGTGCTGATTAATGTTGCCTGTGCTGGAGTTCTGTATAACTGGATTCATATGATGTGTACTGTATGTCTGGCTTCTCTGGAGATTCATTCATCCATGCTGTTGAGTGTGTCTGTAGTTTGTTCCTTTTATCGCTGAGTAGTATTCCATTCTGTGAATATATCACAGTCTGTTTATCCTTTCACTTAACTGATGGCCATTTGGGTTGGTCACAGATTTGAACTATTACGAATGAGGCGGCTAGGAACATTCTTGAAAAAGTCTTCTTGGGGACATATGGTTTTATTTCTAGCAAATTCAGATTCCTTTAAAAAAGGAAAACCCTTTTTGTGAAGTCGTAACAGTTGAGTTGATTTTTATGTCAGATGTTTAAGAACTGGAAATGCTGTTTGGGGACAGTCAGGGACCGTGTGAGGGCATGTAATCCATCTGCCTCCCAGCGGGAACAGGCCAAGTCCTGCCAGGGAAGGGAAGTCTCCACCTGCCCCGGCCATCACAGTCCAGAAATGCTTCCTTGTGTCCAACCTGAATCTGCCAGACTACATTTCGAGGACTTTCCCCTTCCCTGTTCCCTGTGGAACTAGTTTCTATTCTCTGAATAAGCAGTCGTAAAGCCGAGGCATGTTGCTATATGCCCATCTGCCTTCTCTTCTGGAGGAATCATCTGCCTTAGCCTCTCATCAGAGGTGTTTTCCTTCAGCCTTTGCAGCTTCCCATGCTCCTGAAGGCTTTGTAGGGAGCGCCTGCCTGCCTGCCGCCACGAGTGCTGGTCAGCGGCACATCAAAGCAGCCCACCGTGGGAACGCAGATGGGAAATCCACATTACAAAGCGGGAAAGTTAGAGGGGGATGGTTCACTCCATGAAGGATTTATCAGTGGAATCCTCTAAAAAGCACACTCCCCACACCACTTCGATATGCTCCACCTTGAACGCACAATGATAAAAAAATGCTTCTGTTGGGAACGGAAACCACCTGTTTGTGATAAGTCTGACCCGTGGTTCTTGGTGCTAACCACTCTGGCAGCGCCTCCTATATGTGGTCTCTTTTTTGAATTAACCTGTGATGTGGCTTCCTGTAGGATGACCTTTTTGTTCTGCCCTTGATCAGCTCTTATAAAGTCAGGCCTTCCCCTTCTCCTTGGACTCCGCAGCTCGTAGGGGGTGGGAAGCTGCTGAGAACTGGTCATGGGTTCCCCAAGGTGAATCACCTCCAGAGTGCCACCCATGCACAGCCACACTGAGGCCTGGGGCCTGTATTCTCAGAAGCGAAGCCCACTTGTTAATAGCCACTGTTTAACAGAACTTCCCTTCCGGCCCTCTTTGTAGCCCTTAGACCGCAGATTGGGTACAATAGCAGCCAACATTTACTGTGTACTTTCTGTGTCTCTGTACTTAATGTAGTAAATGACATGGATGACATCATTCATTCCTTATCCCAAACCTTATTCCCATTTTACCGGCAAGGAAACCAAGCCTCTGAAAGTCACTTTCCTGAGGGCACACGGCTGTGAGGGCAGAGCCAGGGCTTGGGCCTGGACAGGTGGACCTAACCTTGTCTCCCCCTGCTCCATTGCGCTTCAGTAACTGTTGTGTCGCACAGGACAGAATCTTAAACAGACATACCACACCTGAAATTACAGCATTCTTTCCCTTGCCCTCCCAGACCCACCTCTACCCAAAAATTAGCTCAGCCTGTTGAGACTTGTAGATGGAGGCAAGGTGATCATCTCAAGATAGCTGTGGTCCACACAGGCTGAGCTGCTAGGACTTCCACACATTTTGGGCAGGATGTGTATGTGTGCATTTATACTTCGCAAAGGGAATTGTCTCTTTTGAGTTTTCTGATCTTTGTGTTTTTTTTTTTTCCTCAGTGTAACAATTTTTTCTACCCTCTTTGCTTTTTGTTTGGATGGAGAGGTCCAGGCATAGACTAAGATCTGTTTATTGAGGGCTTGGCTCCCTGTGGTCTGTTCCAGCCTTCATCAGTGAGAGCTGTGTCCCTACCATACCAGCCCTTGCTCCTGCCTCACACTCCTACTCCCACCCTCAGAAGTTCCAAGGACGTTTCAGTGGCTGCCCCTCTGATCGAAGGCACTTCAAATGCTCTGTATCCAGTGGTAGCAAAGAGGTTCATGTTCCTCCTCCCCACCCTACACCAGTTCTCTGGGAAGGACTATCCTCTGCAGACCTCCAAGCACTTTGAGCTCATCTTCCCAACACCTTCAGGCCATAGTCATTTCCCACCCACTGTGTAACGATCAGATTCAGGTATGTCTCTCCTGCCAGACTGTGGAGTTCACAAAGGCAGAGGTAACATCTGTTTTCTGCTGTATCCCCAACACTTAGCACAGTGCTGATGCTGAATGCACTTCTTCAGATAGTTGAGTGAACGATAGAAAGTTCTCCAGCCCAAGGCTGCCGCCTCCCAGACAGGACTGAGCAGTCTGGCCTCCCTGTCAGCGACCTCACTGACTAAGGCCAGGTTTACTGTATTTTTCCCACAATTGCAGAAGGTCTTGGGAGCCTCTTACTTCCCAACCTGGATAGTCCTAGATTAGCAACCCTCTAGGAATCAAAACTAAGTCAGCCTCAGCCTGCAGCGCACCCGAGGTGGGCCGATGCACCCTCATGAAGTGGCCAGTGTGAGTTTTCTCTGCAACTTACAAATCGTCATCTTAGAGAGAAAGCACCTGCTCAGAATCTAACATTTAAAACAATAACATCTTGTCTTTTATTTTTTTGTATAGGTGTGTGAACTTAATGATATAAAAAAATAAAACGAACACTGAACACTATGTTCTTCCAGTTCCTTTTCTGATCTTTATCAGCATTATCTGAATATTTTGTGGTTTTCCTCTGTTTTCTGCTTTACATTATTTTTATATTTAGAATTGCTGCATGCACACATTTCCATGTGTTGACAATTCATATACTTTTTCTTTTTTTGCTATTCTGAAACATGATCTTATAATCAAACTCTAGGTCTTGAATATCTTTGTAAACAGACACAGAGCTACTTTGCTAGTTTTCATGATTGGGTAGAGTTCAATGCTGGGTGAATCCTAATGTTTAACCTATTGGTAGACATTTACGTTGTTTTTTTTTTTTTTTTTTTTGAGACGGAGTCTCACTCTGTCGCCCAGGCTGGAGTGCAGTGGCACTATCTCAGCTCACTGCAAGCTCCGCCTCCTGGGTTCATGCCATTCTCCTGCCTCAGCCTCCTGAGTAGCTGGGACTACAGGCACCCACCACCAAGTCCGGCTAATTTTTTGTATTTTTAGTAGAGACAGGGTTTCACCATGTTAGCCAGGATGGTCTCGATCTCCTGACCTCATGATCTGCCCGCCTTGGCCTCCCAAAGTGCTGGGATTACAGGTGTGAGCCACCGTGCCTGGCCGTATTTTGTATTCTTTTTTTAAAAAAATTCATGCAATATTGTAGTGAATGTCCTTAAATACAGTTTTCTTTAAAGGCTAGAGTTTATTTGTAGGATAAGTTTCTGGCAGTAGAAATGCTGGGTCAAAGAATATGAACACAAAAACATATCCTCCAAAATCATCTCTAAAATGGCCATGCCAATTATACACTCTTCAGTAATCTATTTAGTTTTTAAACATGATTGCTGTTGTATATGTTGATGTGCCATGGTTTGTTACCATTTTCCTGTTGTTGAGCCTTTCAGTCACGTCCCATGTTTTAAGCTGTCATTTTTCGTCTTAGTTGTAAGGTTACCTTACCTTTCCAAACCCCCTAGTATCTGAGTTTTGTACTCTTGAAAACTGAAGAGTTTGGTTAAAACAGGCAGTATTTCATCATGATTGTTTTCCATACTATGCAGACAAGAAAACGGAGGCACAAGGGTTAGGTGCTTTACCCAGAATTCTGCCATTATGGCAAAGCTTTGGTTGAGACGCCCTCTCCTGCCTCTCCCTGCAGGGCACTTTCCCCCTCTGCCATGTTCTGGAGAAGGGACTGGCCCAGCCCCCTTTGAGTCTCAGTGGGTGGGAGTCTGTGAGTTTCGGTTCACTCCATTCGTACCTCATAGCTCCCACCATAAACTGCTGCAGTCCCTGGCACAGGGGTGACATTGCTGACTGGTCCTGGCAGGGCAAGGCACCAAGATGACAACCCCAGGTGCCGTTCACTGAGGCTGTATCCAGCCCATCCTGTTCCTCTTGGCTCTTGGGGCCCTGCTTTTGCAGGCCTGTTGGCTGGAGTTTGGGTGGTCTGTGGCCGTGGAACAGAGTGACGCTGAACTGCTTCCTTCGCCAGAGGTTAGAATTGGGTCCTTTGGCTCAGTAACGCAGTCTCCAACCACTGGAATTTATCAGCCACAAGTTTCTAGGAAATGCAAATTAAGGCTGCAGAAGAAATTCAAGAGGATTTTGACAAAGAGAAACCCTAGGACGAGTTTCCTCTGAAGACTTCTGAAGAAAGGGTCCTTGGGGGATTGGAAGTGGAGCAAGAGTTAGGAGGCCAGCTTTTCTCTGCCCAGACAGGCGTGGGAAAGGTGACTTAGCCTGCACAGAAGTGGTTTTGAAGGAGGGCATGGGTTGTGCCACTGCAGGGTATAATCCATAGGGTAGAGCAGGTGGCTGGTGGCTCTTCAGTTCTTATTCTCAGGATACTCACCCCTTTAAACTCAAAACTCACGTGATTTGGCTATTCAGGTCCCCCTTCACCCGTCCAATGGCCCCCTACCTAGAGGCCTCTGAGCTAAACTTCCAGGTCCTCAGTGTGACCTGGCTTATCTACACACACTCGGATTAGCCCATTCAAGTAATTTAGACTAGGGTGAGAATGACAGGAAATATTTTACAATTTAAATGAAATGCTAGGAAGCCCAGAGACCTCTCTACTTGGTGGGATACAAGGCAGATCTTGAACTTAAGATTTCTTTCTTTTTTTTTTTTTTTTTTAAAGACTGAGTCTCACTCTGTTGCCCAGGCTGGAGTGCAGTGGTGTGATCTCGGCTCACTGCAAACTCTGCCTCCCAAGTTCAAGTGATTCTCCTGCCTTAGTCTCCTGAGTAGTTACGATTATAGGCACGCCACCATGCCTGGCTAACTTTTGTATTTTTAGTAGAGACAGGGTTTCACCACGTTGGCCAGGCTGGTCTCCAACTCCTGACCTCAAGTGATCCACCTGCCTCGGCCTCCCAAAGCACAGGATTTTTATTCCTTAAGTTATCCTTCTGTATCTTACCTGCCCCCGCCCCCTCGGCCAGGCTGGAAAACCAGCAGTCAGCAACTTGTCATTTCTCTTTTGCAAATCTGTCAGCTCTTTCCATGTTAGACTATTCTTTCAATCCACTGAAAATGCCGTGTGCTTTTACTGGAACCCAGGCAGATGAAAACGGCTCTGGGGTAACAGGGTTTCTGGCTGGAGGCCCTTTCTCTTCATGAAGTCACACAAAGCCCGTGTCTCCTTCCTTCTGCAGGCTCTGATGAGGAGTACATTTATATGAACAAAGTGACCATCAACCAGCAACAGAATGCAGAGTCTCAAGGCAAAGGTATGAGGCTGGGATCACTGACGGGATGGCCACTCCCGGGATGAGGGAAGGTCCACGCTGGTTCTGTCCCACCTCTTCTTCCTCCCAGCCGGCACACAGACCCGCCTGGCGGAGTTATTTTTGGAAGCCACATTTTGGTTGGTGGTATTTTGGGTTGATGTATTTTGGGATGTTTCAACAGGCCACCCCCTCCTTGCCCATTGGATAAGGAATCTGGCCCTAAAACTTTTTGGCTGTTCCCAGCATCATCCTAGGAACAGGAAGTCATAATTCAGATGTTCGAAGAAAGCAGCTGTGTGTGGTGCTGATCCCACGGTTCTGCCTTTATGTCTTTTGATAGAAGTCTGTTTTGAGGAAGAGGAGAAAGAAATAAATGGTGGTGTCAGCAACTGCCTTAATAGTCACAGATGATGTTCAAAGGTGCTGTCTTTGGTGGAACGTTTTGTCTCCCATGGAAAGGACATATGTTGTCTTCCATGGTGCCTCCCTCTTCTGCTCCGTTCTGCTTTCTGCTTTTCCCTTAAAACCTCCAGGGAGGAGCCTGGCAAGACCTCGGGGAGGCCCAGAGGTATGCAGAGCTGCCTAGTTGCAGAAGAGGCAGGCTAAGAAGCACCATCTCCTAACTCCCAAGCCTGTGACTCAAACACAAAGGCTTAGAGAGGGGTGGGAACACAGCATTGCAAAGCACTCAGTCCCGTCAAAGGCTTGTCTCTGAGATATCAGCCACCAAATCCCCGAGGTCGGGCCTGCCTGAGACTGTCTGTCCCAGGGCTGGGTGAAATGGACAGGCTCAGAAGTGTCTTTGGCACCTTTCCTTACAAGTGCACCGAGGGTTGGTGGCCTCACTTCCCCAGTGTGGCTCCTTCACTTCCTGCCCCTCACCAAGCCTGAGACATGGCAGAACTCATCCAGATGAGGTTGGCCACTCTGGTGGGGGTCGCTTGCCTTCCGGGTATACTGTGGGAGGAAAGAGCCATAATCACAGGGTCCATGCTGAGAGTGGCTCAATATAGTGGCCGCCAGGCAGCTCCTCTGCTGGCCGAAGCTCTGTGGCTAGACCATTTTTTTGACGTGGGGTGGGTAGGGGAGCAGGTACAGAGGCTGCCAGAAACACCAGACACATGGCTGGGGCACTCCTGTACCCTATTCTTGGAGGAAAAACAACTTCAGCTCCAGAAACCGCCTGCCTGGATAATAAACGCCTCAAAAAGAGGTGCATGTGCATGTGACCAGGAATGGTGCATGTGACCGGGCATTCCTGAGGAAGGAGACCCTGTGTGAGGCTGCTCACCCCTCACCGAAGCCTTCTCCTTTTGCTGCCCGCAGTGCCTGAGGAGCAGGGCCTGCTGCCCAATGGGGAGCCCAGCCAGCACTCCTCGGCCCCTCAAAAGAGCCTTCCAGACCTCCCACCACCCAAGATGGTAAGTGTCAGTCCAGGACCCCTGATTTCCCTGATGTGAGCCCCTTGAACGTCCAGTTGTCCTCACAGGTGTCAGCTCACTCAGTGTCTGGCATTTTCTGAGCAACTGCTGTGTTCAGGGATGGGGACAAGGCACGGGTAGGGACAGAGCAAAAGTAAACCTGCCTACAGGGGATTTGCTTGGGGCCGCGGTACTCCGGATGCTGAGGGTGATGGGTCTGGGGAAATTTGATTGAGTGCCACCTGACGCTACTCAGGCTCTTTATCTAGTATCATGTGAACAGGGCCATGAACAGCTGTGGTCATCAGCCTAGGCCACAGTGACCTTTAAAAAATTTGCAAGAGCCAGGTATAGTGGTGCATGCGTGTAGTCCCAGCTACTCAGGAGGCTGAGGCAGGAGGATTGCATGAGGCCAGGAACTGGAGGCTGCAGTGCACTGTGATCACACCTGTGAATAGCCACTATAGGCCAACCTGGACAACACAGCAAGACCCCATCTCTAAGATATAAAATAAGTGAATAAATAAATAAATAAATCATTCCCCTATGTTGTTCTGGAGTTAATAAGCAAAGGAAAAGTAAAAATTCATAAATCATATCATACTGCACTTCCTGCTTGAACCTTACCAATAGTTCTTATTAAACATAGAAAAAACAAAATCCCATTTCTTAGCATGGCCTCAGGGCCTATGATCTGGCTCAGCTTCATTGTCCAGCCTCCTCATACAGGGTCTTCACTGGCCTCCCTTCTGCCCCTGGATTCTGTCACTGTGGTCAGGCCTGCTTTAGGGATTTTGCACCACCTGGGCCCCTACTAACTTCTCATCTCTCCGCAGTTCTTAAGAGAGACTTCGGCTGGGCGCGGTGGCTCAAGCCTGTAATCCCAGCACTTTGGGAGGCCGAGGTGGGCGGATCACGAGGTCGGGAGATCGAGACCATCTTGGCTAACACAGTGAAACCCCATCTCTACTAAAAATACAAAAAATTAGCCGGGCGTGGTGGCAGGCGCCTGTAGTCCCAGCTACTCGGGAGGCTGAGGCAGGAGAATGGCGTGAACCTGGGAGGCAGAGCTTGCAGTGAGCCGAGATCGTGCCACTGCACTCCAGCCTGGGCGACAGAACGAGACTCGGTCTCAAAAAAAAAAAAAAAAAAAAAAGAGACTTCTGCTGCCTTGGCTAAGTAAGGCATCCCTCCCCCATCTGCACCCAGGTTGCTATCTACCCACCACCCAGTTACCTGCTCCATGGCTTGTGCTACTGGAACAGTCTTGTTTACTGTCTCCTTTCCTGATGTCAGCTCCTGAGGACAGGGACCTTGTGTCTTGTTTACTATTTTGTGTCCAGTATCTGCAGACATGGACAGAGGTAGGCCATACATAAATATCCATTAATTTGGATGGATGGAGTTGTAAAATCATATGGATGTGGGTTCAAATCCCAGTTCTGCATGCCACTAGCTCTTTGGCCTTGAGCAAGTTATTTGAAGTCTCTAACCCTCTGTTTCCTGGTTTATATGGAAGAAGTGCTCACATCTGTCTCATCAGATGGGCTTATTCAATGGGCTAAGGCTGGCAGCCCCTCACCACTGTGTGGCATACTGTGCTAGTATTCAGTGAGATAAGTGGTAGTATTTATATTTTAAGGGTGAGGAAACCTAATGTCACACAGCCTGTAAGTAACAGAGTCAGCATTTGAACCCATGTTCTTTCCCCTGTAGGGCATGCCTGGGGAGGGATCCTGGGGCAGGACTGGGGTCTCAGCTTAGAAGGGTTTATATGGGTAGCCAGGGGGTCTGGGGTCAGCGCCAGCAGGAAGCTAAGCTCCCGCCAAGTGACCATCACCTGATCTGTGGGCACATGTTTCCGTGGAGGGGATCCCAGCCCCAGAATGGCTCTGGACCGGCCCCTTCATTCGTGCCTTCCTGGGGGGCAGGGGCCACAGCTGAGGATCTGACTCCACCATGTGTGATGGGTGGGCAGTTCCAGAGAACCGGGGACAGTGTCCCACTGCATGCTGTCCCTTGAGCTGGGTGACAGCTGGTGGGGACTCCTCATCTCAGGCTGAGTGAGGCTTGATGTCAAGACTGAACCTGAGTCCCTGGTGTCCCTGTGATGCTGACAGTGCCAGTCACTGTTACACCCTGAGCCTCAACCCCATCCCATGCACACACACCATCCGCCCACCACCCAGCAAGGAATAGGTATTTTCGTCACTGTTTTTCATATGAAGAAACAGACTCAGAGTTAAAAACCACTGGCCAAGGTCCCACAGTTGGGAGGTACTAGGCCAGGATTTAAATGCAGGTTTTTGTTGTTGTTGTTCCCAATTCCTCCCCCAGCCTGGGCCTCCCTGACATTTGCTCCTGTCTGTAGCAGAGCAAGGGCTCAAGCTGTGTCCCTCTAGCACCAGGCTCCCCTCACTTTCAGTCCCGATACTTGGGGGAACAGCACAGCGCCTCTGCTGTCCCATCCGTATGCTGACGGCTTTAACCAGAGGTTTTCTGGTGTGGCCCAGGCATTGCTTGCTGGCTGGTGGGAGTGGAAAGGTGGCTGTTCTGAGCCACGGCTGGAACTTTTCTATCCTAAATCCAGCGTCTGATTCTGACCAAGGTACCTTGGGCTTTGCTAGTGGAAGTGCCATCATCTGCCCCACCAGGGACAGCTGTGGGTGGGTCCTCAGCTGGTGGGTAGGGGCAGAGATTCACGAGCACCGAGTACTGTGTGAGTGTTCGAGAAACTGTGTTTTACAAACAGCATGGACTGAGGGGCCCAGGGTCTGGGGCCTGGCTATAGCTGTAAGTTAACTGGGCCATGGTGAGTCCCTGTGGGCCCTGGGATTCTGGTGCTGGCTTCTGCTCCTCGGCCAGTGCCCTGTGCCTCGGACACTGAGTGTGGAGAGGGGCACGTGGTTCCCTCTAGAGTAGACTTCTTGGATTGTTGTCTGTGATTAGGGCTTGTGTCCTGTTTGAAAGGACAACTGCAACTGGTGCTGCAGTTGGGGAAAATATCAGTACCCAGGAATGGCCCGATCCCAAGGTGGCCTTTCAGCCAAGTGGTAACTGCCTGTGGACAGCTTCCAGGCCCCAGGGAGACTTCTAGCAAAGCCAGCTGAGTTGACAGGAAAAGGCAGCTCCCTCCCACTTTGTGGACTTTGCTGTGAAGGACCAGAGATGGGCGTGGACTGCGAGTCCCCTGACTAGGTCCCTCCTGGTCTTGTGCAAGGCACCCAACTACCCCAGGGGGTTCCAGATGTGGTGCGGGGATGTAGGTGGTGTCCACCAGGCACTCTCCCTGTCCTTGCCCACACACACGAGCACATGTCCTCACTCCGTCAGGCCTCCTCAGGTTGAATCAGGCTGAAGCAGCCATCACTCTTAGTCCAGGGCCCCCAGAGGAGCAGCGTCAGGGCAGAGCCGTGTCTGTGGCTCTGAAGGAGGAGGAGAACCAGAGCAGGGAGAGGCCGTGGCCGCCGGAACCCCATGGCCATGCTAGCCAGACCATCAACTGTGGCCAACAAACATCTGTTTCTGCTGCAAGGACCACAGCACCTGGCTGTGTAGACAGCAGCCTGGAGAGGCCACAGCTGCCTGAGTCACTGTCCAGCTGAGGCTGGAGCCCTGAGCGTGGAGTGCCCTGTGGCCTCTCTTCCTCAGACAGCAAACCCGTGCCTTCCTCCCCTGATCCCAGAACTTCAAGGTGTCAGGGAGGCCTCTCCACCTGAGGGCTGGGCCCTGCACAGCTGCCTGGCCCTGGACTCACCGGCCCCTTCTGCAGCACCTGGATGTCCTCCTGGGGTCCTCAGGGCCTATGGCTGGGCCAGGATCATGCCTCGGTCACAGGCTCGGGATGCGTGTCGGCCACGAGCCCAGATGTCCTCACTCCAACCCCTACAGACTCAGTAGAGAGCAGGTCTGTCCAGCGATAGAAGGGGCAGCCAGGGGTTTGGAGTGACCTCGTGGGTGTGGACAGTGACTCACGGAGCTGTGGCCTCTCCAGGCTGCTGTCTACACAGCCAGGTGCCGTGGTCCTTGCAGGAGAAACAGATGTTTGTTGGCCATGGTTGATGGTCTGGCTAGCATGGCCATCTCCACCCCATCATCCCTCTGAGGCCTGGCCACGCGCTGGTCTGCTGTTATATGAGCTGCTCTGTGGGGGAAGCCACTTAATCCCTAAAAGGACGTTGCCATGGCTAGCCTGGGAGGCTGGGCCTGGCCTGTCCACTCACCCCCACCTGGGAGCCTTCTGCAGTGTACTCTGGGGCAGGGTGGTTAGAGCTGGGAGGACGCCTTGGGTCCTCTGAGCCATCCCTCATCAGCTCTTGTGTCTAGTCTAAGCCAGGGCTTGGCAAACTGGAGCTCACTGGCCAAATCTGATCTGCAACATCCTTTAGTCAATAGTGTTTTATTAGAACGCAGCCAAGCTTATTTAGTTGTATTAGTCTGTGGACTTCTGAGCTACAGCAAGCAGTAGAGTTGAATAGCTGAGATAAGACAGAGGTTCTGAGTGGCCTACAAATCCCTAAAACATTTACTTTTTGGCCCTTTCCTGAAAAGATTTGCGGCCCTTTGGACCTCTGGTTTGGTCAATCCTGCCACGCCTGACTCGCTCACACAGTCCCTTCCTCCAAACAGTCTAAGTTTTTCAGGTTTTGATGTTAAATCTCTTCTGGATCTTCATTTAATATTCACATTCTTCCTGTAATCCCAGCACTTTGAGAGGTCAAGGTGGGCAGATCACCTGAGGTCGGGAGTTTGAGACCAGCCTGGCCAACATGGTGAAACCCCGTCTCTACAAAAAATACAAAAGTTAGCCAGGCATGGTGGCACGCGACTGTAATCCCAGCTACTCAGGAGGCTGAGGCAGGAGAATCACTTGAACCCAGGAACTGAAAGTTGCAGTGAGCTGAGATCACACCACTGTACTCCAGCCTGGGCAACACAGCGAGACTCTGCCTCAAAATATATATATATAGAATTCACAGTCTTCACCATCATAATGATAATAATTAAAATAATAGTCCTTTCTCCTTAACCCTGTGAGATGATCTGTCTCCTTGAAGCTCTGATAATAGGTCATTGTGTCTGTTTAATCACATGACTCATCATTTAACCCAGCATCCTTGAGAGCTGGGACTCCATCCTGTGGTCTCCTCTGCACCCACCCCCGGAGTGCATTGGTTTATCTTCCACCAAACACATATATAACACCTTTCTCCCTTTCTTATTTTTACATTTTATTTTTTAGGTTAGTAAAAACTAATGTGTACTGAATATTGAATAGTGATAGGCACACTTCGATCCTTACAGCAACCCCATGTGACAGATATTTCTGCTCTCCCCATCTTATGCCAGGTCCAGAGAGGTCAAGTGAGTTGGTCGGAGTCACACGGCGAGGATGTCCTAGTGTCAGGATTCAAGCCTAGTTCTGGGGATCGTACTCCATTCCTGCCCTGCACTGTCTCTGCATAGTGAGCCATTTTCAGAGTTTGCAGTGTCAACCTACAGGCAAAAAATGGAGGCAAAATAAATATAAGTAGAGAGTTTATTCTGACCAAATTTGAGGGCTGCAGTCCAGGAGCACAGATTCAAGTTACCTTGAATCCATGTTCCTATTGGCAGCAGTTACAAGTGGGTTTTCAAAGGAAAAAGAAGAGTTTTTAAGTTGTTTACCAATATTTTACATTAAAATACCGTAAGCTATCCATCAGCTAAACATTGTTCTTTGTAGCATAAATTCCAGGAACCTGAAGATAATGGATGAGGCAGCTAGTGAGGAATAAAATGCCTTTAAACAGTTGCCCCCAGGAATGGGAATGGGGAGGGGAGAAAACGGTGCCCGAAGCCCCATACTCCTGTCTCTGGGCTTGATACATTTTGCACACCTGAGTAGCTCAAACTCCTCTGAGCTATTTTTCTTCTCAAAGAAGCTTAGGAGACACTCAGAAAACACTGCCTGGCTCCACCCTGGACAGGACAGGAGGCCCCCAGGGACAGGCCCTGTTGTGATGACCCCTGGGGAGCTCCTGCAGAAGAGTTCACTCCTCCCTTTGTCCTGTTCGACTCTCGGGAATCCTGACCTGGGGGGGCCAGATCTTGGGTGCCCAGAGCTTTTCTCCAGATGGGACCCGCCTGATGGGAATGGAGCTTCTTGGAGGCTGGAGCTGGAGGCCCAGCCAGATCAGACTGTGAGGCCTAGGGCCCACTGGGGAGACCTTACTGCTGTGGCGGCGAGAGGACCCTTTCCCTGTGGACCCTAGGGAGCCTGTTGTTAGTGGATCACGGGCAGTCTGTCACTGTCTCAGCCTTTTCTCAGGCTGCTGGCTGGCCAGGGGGACCAGGACAGGCTGAGACAGCAAAGATACCGCACCAGGCTGGGACTGCAAAGAGGGAGGACCATATGCTAGCAGTTACCAGTGACGCGCCCATTGTCTGCTAGGGCAGAGGTGTGCGACCTGACTCCCTTCGGCAGTGCATCTGTCGGCCCAGTACAGTGTCAGGTTTGCTTACGAAATGACCAAATTCTTTGATTCCTTCCTTTGTAGGGGGTGCCATGTGCCAGAGGAGGGCTGAAGGCTGTTCTGAGTCTGCCCTGTGCCTCGTGTCAGCTCTGTTGGTACAGGACCAGATCTGCTGCTGGACCCAGGCTGTGGCCTGGTCTCAGCCAACCCTCTGTGATGCCCTGTCAGGGTCAATCCTCTTCGTCTCAGCTTGCAGGACAACAGTCTAGTAGTTCGACTCCTGTCACATTAACTGCCCTCACTGCTCAACCTGCAGACCCTGGGACTGTGGAGGGGCCCCAGACAGTGATAACAATGGCCTCCTTGTATTTAACATGGGCCAGGCCCTGTGGAAACAGTCACATTTTGTCTCATTGAATTTTCAAAACAACCCTAGTATTATTTTATAAAGAAGGAAAGCAAGGCTCAGAGAGCCTGTCACATACCCAAGGTTAAATCTATGAGGTCCTAAAGCCTGGATTGAAATCAAGTTACATGAACTCCAGGGTCTATATAAACAGATTGTAGAGTCCAAGCCACACAGGACTGGGCTCTGGGGACCCTTGTGTCCTCGCCCTGGGGAAGCTGGAAGGGATACTCTTGCAGCCCATGGAGTTTCATGATTCAGAAAGATGCTGGGGGCCGGGTGTGGTGGCTGGCGCCCGTGATCCCAACAATTTGGGAAGCCAAGGCGGGCAGTCACTTAAGGTCAGGGGTTTGAGACCAGCCTGGTCAACATGATGAAACCCCATCTCTGCTAAAAATATAAAAGTTAGCCGGGCGTGGTGGCGCTCCCCTGTAGTCCCAGCTACTCAGGAGACTGAGGCAGGAGAATCACTTGAACCTGGGAGGCAGAAGTTGCAGTGAACCAGGATCGTACCACTGCACTCCAGCCTGGGTGACAGAGTAAGACTCTATCTGAAAAACACAACAAAAGAGACCCACGTTCAAGGGTGCTTACACATTCATGACCTGTCTCTCATAATAGTAATGCAACAAGTTACCTCTTTTTCTCCCCCATGGTTGCTGTATAAAGGTAGCTTATGGAAGCATAGTTTCATAGTCTAGTGCCTACTGTGCAGGTGGAATAAGGGAGGAACAGAATGATTTCATGTTCTATGCTTCTAACACAGTTGCAGGTGTTTTTTACTCTACTCGAATTGCACACGTTCATCCTCATCCCACACAAGCAGCTCAGGGTCATCTTTGAGACTCAGTCCAAAGATCACATCCCCTGGGCATCCTTCCTTTGTCCTAAATGTTCCTCACACCCTCTTCTGGTTCCCACAGAACTTTGACCTTGTTCATTATAGTACTACTGTATCACAATGCACTTGACCAGGAGCTGTTAAAGATTTACCAGCTACCCAAGCTTATTTTAGGACTGACTCGTGAAGTTTCAATGTGTCCCTCTCAGCTAGCACGTGGAAGTCATCCACTATTTGCTGAATGAGTGATTGAACTATATACTATGGTAAAAGTGTAGGATTTAGAAACCTGGTCCTCTTTCCCCATGTGCTATTGATTAGCACTTGTCTTTTTAGAAAATATATTCTATATTCTATTTAAAAGCCACAATAGCTATCCCAACAGCCTGGCACTCTCTGGACCGTTAAGTGTGTGATATATCATGTGCATAATGATATTTTGTGTGTGTGGTAGTGAGTTTGAGCCTCATTTTGCAGGGGAGAAAGCTGAGTCTTGGCAAGGTTAGAAAACGTGCCCACAGCCCTTCCATGGCTACAGATCAAACACTATGGACTCTGACTGATGGGATTCATGATATTGCGTGTTCTCCCTCCCAACTTGCTTAAAGTTTAACATCCAGCTGGGCATTTTTGTCTTCTAGACTTCCACCCAAAGAGTTATGTCCAGTTGCTCCCAGTGTACTGTATTTGCAAATGTTTGTCTTATTTGTTCATACCACAGATTCCAGAACGGAAACAGCTTGCCATCCCAAAGACGGAGTCTCCAGAGGGCTACTATGAAGAGGCTGAGCCATATGACACATCCCTGAATGGTACATCCCAGCGGCTGGGGCTTGGGAGGGCAACTTACTGCTTCCTTCTCAGATGTTGGTGCAGACTTACCTGGGGGTAACAGATATGCTCATCCTGGGCTGGGTGACAGAGGGTAGCCTGGGCTGCTGTGACAGGAAAGTATGGTCCAAATTGAGAACTGGCCACAGAGCATTCAGCCTTTAGTCTGAATGGGGAGTGAAGACCCACAGCAGACCTAGCTGTCCTGCAAGGAGGAACGAGGGATGGCACATAACAAATAGGTTGACTGTGTCTGATGTTTTCTGTGGTTCCTGCCTGCAAGTTGTGAGATTTCAGCACAAAGGTGATGGAAGAGAGGAGTTTTGGCCAACAGGCCCAAGGCCCTGGTCAGCAATGGAAGTGGTGGTCAGGCTGAGTCTGAGCTCAGTTTCCACGTTCTTTCACTGGACTCATAGTTATGGTGCTCCCACTGTGTCAGGGACAGGAGCCCAGTCATCCCTAGCACTGACATTCGGTGAAAGAAGACAGACAACAAATAAACAGCATGTGTCAGTGGTGATAAGTGAGAGGATGGAAAACAGAACAGGAGCTGGGCTTCTGCAGGACAGGGGAGTTACTTTAGATAGGGAAGGCTTCTCTGATAGCATGACTTAAACAGATTCCTGAATGAAGTGGAGAGTGAGTCAGGCAGATACATTCAGGAAGAACTTTCCAGACAGAGAACATGGTATCTGCAAAAGCCCCAAGGCAGGAGAGCTCTGGGTGTGTCTGAGGAACAACAGGGAAGCCAGCATGGCAGGAGCAGGGGAGAGTGACAGGAGATGGGGACACAGATGGGGCTGCCAGCCACAGGAATGACTTTGGCCTTTCTCTGAGTGAGGAAAGACTGCAAACCTCCAGAGGGTTACTTAGGGACTGGCCTAACTTAGTGTATTAGTCTGTACTCATGCTGCTAAGAAAGACATACCCAAGACTAGGTAACTTATAAAGGAAAGAGGTTTAATGGACTCACAGTTCCACATAGTTGGAGAGGCCTCACAATCATGGCAGAAGATGAAGAGGAAAGACGTCTTACATGGCAGTAGCAAGAGAGAGCGTGTGCAGGGAAACTCCCCTTTATAAAACCATCAGATCTCGTGAGACTTATTCACTATCACGAGAACAGCATGGGAAAGACTCACCCCCATGATTCAATTACCTCCCACCAGGTCCCTCCCATGACACATGGGAATTATGGGAGCTACAATTCAAGATGAAATTTGGGTGGAGACACAGTCAAACTTATATCACTTAGGTATTGAAAAGATCGCCCTGGATACTGTGTGAGCAGCTCTGTAGGCAGGGCTCATGCTAACACCCTCTGTCCTTGGCTGATGGTTCGCAGCCTGAGGAAGTTGGATCAAAAGTGCTCTTGGTTTGGGGATTTGATTACACAGGAAGGCTTCGAGGTTCAGGAAGAGGTGGTTGTGACCCTCATCTCTGGGGCAGCTGGACTGTGGTCCTCCCCTTCTGGCTTCCTTCTCTTTCCTTCCTTTGTAAGTGAGAGGGCTTTCAAAGCATAATCAATCAGCAGATATAAAAGGCCAGGGCCCCTGGGGCTGGGAATGAACTAGGCTGAAGAAGGTGTTGTTGGTTCCATAAAGAACAGGACCAGGAATGAGATGGAACCAGCCTAAGTGCCCATCAACCAATGAGGGGATAAAGAAAAATGTGGTACATACACAGCACAGAAGACTACTCAGCCAGAAAAAGGAATAAAATAATGTTTTTTGCAGAAACTTGGATGGAACTAGAGGCCATTATTCTAAGTGAAGTAACTCAGGATGGAAAACCAAATATCCTATGTTCTCACTTGTAAGTGGGAGCTAAGCTTTGAAGACCCAAAGGCATAAGAGTGATATAATGGACTTTGGGGACTAGCGGGGGAAGATTGGGAGCAGGGGTGAGGGATAAAAGACCACATATTTGGTACAGTGTACACTGCTCGGATGACAGGTGCACTATCAGAAATCATCATTAAAGAACGTATCCACCTGAACCCCAAAAACTATTGGAATAAAAATAAGAACAGGACCAGGAATGAGATGGGACCGGTGACTGGGAGAGGCATGGGATTCCCCTGCCCTTCCTTCACACTTACCTGCCGCCTCCTGCTGGGAACTCTGTGGGAGGTGATCGCCTGTTTGGGTTGAGTCTATTCTAAGACACTGGCTTTGTGGGCAGTCGGCACTTAGCACTGACCCACTGAGCATGCGAGGTGGTGCCAACTCACCAGTCGGGCTGTGATTTCAGACCAAAGGCAAGGGTGCGGTGCTGCCATCTGGATGCGCGTTGAAGGTGGAAACAGTGACTCACCGCGGTGAGCACCTCCCTGCCCTCAGGTGCGGTCGGGCCAGCAGGGGCCTGCCTGCCAGACGTGCCAGGGGGCCGGTTTGTGGGGCAGACGCTCCATCTCGACACAAACAAGTGGTCAGAAAGGCCAGCGCTTCTTGGTTTTGTCTCTCAACTGTGAGTTCATACTTGTCGTAGCCGGGACTAGGGGTCATCCCAAGGACAGCTCGAACTCACTGTGTGGAGTGGGTCAAGAAAGCTCCGAGATGGAGGAAATCCAGCTGCGAGGTGGGAGGGAACATAGTTCTGCCTGTCGTGCCAGCCAGCGAGAGGCCTGGGGATGACTTGGGGAGAAGCAGTCACAGTCAGCACAGAGCGAGGCCTTCACCTGCCTTACAAGCTGGCCTGGCCTCAGGTCCTGCCTGGTCAGTGTGACATGCAGCATGTGGCCAGAGAAATGGGTGTGGGCCCCAGCCCCTTGCTATAGTTGGTGGCCATAGCGATTTGCTGACTTCCTGCAAAAGGTCAGTTTCTTGGATTCTTGACCTGCTGTATCAGCCCTGTCCTCACACTGCTCCCCGGGTCATGTCCCTCTCTCTGAGCACATGTGTAATGAGTGCCCTGATGGCCTGTGCTAGGGGTATCGGGGTCTGCCCTGCTTGCCAGAGATACCGGGTACTTCGCTGATGGTGTCTTACCTTGGGGTAATGCTAGTGGCTATAACAACCCAGCAGCTTCTGTCTACAGTAACACAATGCAAACCTGTTTCTCACTCAGGGGTATTTCAGTGGGGGGCATTACTCATCCTCATGTAGATTAGGTGCCCAGGCTCCGTCCATGTTTGTTTCGGCCACCCTCAAGGGCCACAGAATCCTCTGCAGAGAGAGAGCAGAGAACCCCTATCTGCTTCTTAACAGCACCAGCCAGAAGCGACACACATCACTTCCACCCACAGTCCCTTGGTGGCAAGTAGTCACATGGTCATCTCTGGATGCGAAGGGGTCTGGATCCAGGAAATGTTGTCCTTGGCTCAGCAGTGGCCTCACCCAACAGCCCATACCTCTGATGGGCAAGCATTAACCTCTGGTGGACTGGCAGCTGGGTTGCCACATCTGGGTCTCTCTTTGTGTCTCTGCACTTGGACGTACTCCTCTCTTCATCCTGTCTCTCTTCTCTTCCCTCTGTCCGTGCTCCTGGATGTTGTGCAGGTCACTCTGGTGGATTTCTCCCCAGTGGAGTCCCCAGATGGGTGCAGATGCCCGAAGGAGTCATTTACGCCACGATCACCTTGGGTACTGCTTGCTCCCTGAGCTGGAATGCCAGTGATTCTTGCCTGCTGCCTGGCTCTCAAAGATGTGTGCGTGCCCCGAGGGTGGCCACTGCCTTCTTCCTGTCCTTGTGCATGGGTCCTGCACGTGCATGCTCTGTGCAATCTTCCCAGAGGAGCCACCTACCTGGCCTTCCACAGTCCCACCCCCACTGCCCTGAACGTGCTATCAAAACACATGGCTAAAAGACCCACAGTGTGCATGGCTGTTCTGCCCTCAGTTCCACAGGACATAGTGAGGTAGAGTCTACCTAGGGATGGCAGACGGGGATGGAATTATCTCAGCATCCTGCCTCTCATTCCTGTTCACCCTGTACCTCCTAGAAGCCAAGTATCTGTTTTCAGAATATGGTACTGTTTTTGTTTGGTTTTGTTTTGGAGATGGAGTCTGGCTCTGTCACCCAGGCTGAAATGCAGTGGCATGATCTTGGCTCACTGCAACCTTTACCTCCCAGGTTCAAGTGATTCTCTTACCTCCACCTCCCAAGTAGCTGGGATTACAGGCATGCAACATCAGGCCTGGCTAATTTTTGTATCTTTAGTGGAAACGGGGTTTTGCCATATTGGCCAGGCTGGTCTCGAACTCCTGGCCTCAAGTGATCTGCCCTCTTCAGCTTCCCAAAGTACTGGAATTGCAGGTGTGAGCCACCATGCCTGGCCAAGAATATCCAATGTTTATGGTGTGCTATTATGATCCCTCTTACGGGTAAAAACAATTATTAATATATTTGCTCTAAATTTCCTCCGAGCTACTCCAGGAGTATGATTTATTGTTCTTTTTTCTTTTTCTTTTTTTTTTTTTTTGAGACAGAGTTTCACTCTGTTGCCCAGGCTGGAGTGCATTGGCGCAATCTCCGCTCACTGCAAGTTCTGCGGCCTCCCAGGTTCACGCCATTCTCCTGCCTCTGCCTCCCGAGAAGCTGGGATTACAGGCATCCACCACCATGCCCGGCTAATTTTTTTTTTTTTTTTGTATCTTTAGTAGAGACGGGGTTTCACCGTGTTTGCCAGGATGGTCTCGATCTCCTGACCTCATGATCTGCCCGCCTCAGCCTCCCAAAGTGCTGGGATTACAGGCGTGAGCCACCACGCCTGGTCATTTTTATTTTTATTTTATTTTTTTTGTGAGACAGAATCTCACTCTGCCAGCCAGGCTGTAGTGGAATGGCATGATCTCAGCTCACTGCAACCTTCCACTTCCTGGTTCAAGCGATTCTCCTGCCTCAGCCTCCTGAGTAGCTGGGATTATAGGCATCCACCACCATGCCCGGCTAATTTTTTTTGTATTTTTAGAAAAGACAGGGTTTCACCATGTTGGCCAGGCTGGTCTCAAACTCCTGACCTCAAGTGATCTGCCCAGCTTGGCCTCCTAAATTTCTGGGATTACAGGTGTTAGCTACCATGCCCAGCCTCTTTTTTTCTCAATGTTTTTTCTTTCATACCTAGTCCTGTTAATGATTTGCTGTTCTTAGCCTCCTAATACCCCCATGGAGGAGGATGGGCAAATGTTAGAATTCTTCATGAAACATGTGGGGCAACCCCAGAAGCGCAGAACAGTGGAGACTTACCCAAATTCTTCACACTAAACTCTGTAGCCTCCTCCATTAATTTTTGTTACTGAAGGAAGAATCCCAATGACAGTGTATCATTTTTAAAATGTCACTTATTATACAGATAATGCAATACTGGCAATAAGGAAAAATTTTTTAAATTACCCTGATCCTACCACCCATCAAATCAACTATTTTGAGCTTTTTCTATGTTGCCTTGCAGTGCTGATCTATTTGCACGTATAGTTCTAATTGTGCTTTCTCCCTTGTCATACCTTAGGGAGTTTATTGAGCTGCACACCAGTCTTCAGAGTTTTAATTGATTACAATTGCATAGTAGATTCCTAAGTGGGTAAAATCATGCTTTACTTACCCAGTCCCCTTCTGCTGACTGCTCAACAGCACTTGAATGAATATTCTAATGCATGTAACATTCTTCCCCACACCTGCCCTTTTTTGAGACAGGGTCTCTGTTGCCCAGGCTGGAGTGCAGTGGCATGATCTCAGTTCATTGTAACCTTCGTCTCCTGGGCTCAAGCCATCCTCCCACCTCAGCCTCCCAAGTAGCTGGGACTGTAGGTGCATACCACTATGCCCAGCTAATTTTTGTATTTTTTGTAGAGATGGGGTTTTGCCATGCTGCCCAGGCTGGTCTCGAACTCCTGAGCTCAAGTGATCCACCTGCCTCGGCTTCCCAGAGTGCCAGAATTACAGGCGTGAGCTACCACGCCTGGTCCCTTCTCTTTTTAAAAAACTAGCCAGACTGCTGTCTGAGAAGCCTGTGTTAAATTACATTGTCACCTGTCATCTAAGAGTTCAGGGTTCCATCCTGGGTAATACTGCTATTTTCAGTCTTATTTAATAGGTATAAATTATACACTTTTACATTAAGCCATAAAGAGAAGTAGTGTCACATGACTTTTAAAGAAAACTGATATTAAAATATTTAAAATGTTGTTTTTAGAAACATTAAAACACATTTTCATTGGCACTGTTGCTAGAATAACTATTGCAGGGGCCTCATCCCATTTTTCTATATTCTAATTCAAATGTGCTTCTTAGTAAAATCAAATGTGCTTCTTAGTAAAATCAAATGTGCTCCTTAGTAAAATCAACAATATTTTATGTAGCTATACAGACAGGTGAAAGGGCTTCTGGATTCTTCTGCCAAGACTTAGGGGCCTCTGGGCTGGTCCTCTTCTGAAGGGTGTCATGGGAATGAAGGCAGAGTGTCATTCAGCCCGACTCAAGGGGAAAGAACAAGGACTGCCATGCAGAAGTCAGGGAAATATAGATGCTGAGTCCATTTCCTAACTGATAGGGCTGCCGGGAATGGGGGTATCCAGTGATCAGGAGACAGTGAGCCCTCCCCGGGAAATTCGGGCAGAACATCAAGGTTATGGTAGACAGGATTCCTGTGCCAGGTGTTGGACTGAAATCCTGAGGTTCCCTTTCCTCCATGCCCTGCTTTTCAGGGATAGATGGATGGATGAATAGAGAGATAGACAGATAGATCGATCAATCGATAGACAGATGAACTGATTGACTGATTTATTCACACGTTTGTTTTGTCCTTGAATAGAGCAGTGGGACCTGGGAACAGAGCCACTCTTGCAGGGTGGTGGGGACAGAAACTAGAAACTGAGGTGGGTGGGGTATACGTAGAATCGTGCATGATGTGTGCTCTGATGAGTTTTGGGATTCTTTTGAAATGACAAAAGAGTAAGGGTTTAAGTTAGAAACGAGTAAAAGGAGCTACATTTGTGCCAGGAGGTATTAGGGAAGGAAGGCAAGCAGTGTCTATGGAGGATATGAGTGGAGGTTTGAAAAAGGGCTCTGACTAGGAGAGGGTATTTGGGAGGAAGAAGGTGGCCCCTTTGCCCACGAAGTATTTCCTGCCGTGGTTTATTTGGACTTTTATTTTGGAGGAGCCACAGCCCCTTCCCCAGATCTAGGACTGAGCCAGGCCCAGCCAGGCCGGTGGCCATTAGAGGCCTGCCTTGCACACAGCTCAGGTGGAGTGCAGGTGGCGTTCTCTTCCTCCTGAGCCCTTGGAATGCCAGAGGCCAGGCCTGGGAGAACCTGGCAGCATCCCACCCCACGCCCTTCATCTTTAATTTGAGGAATTAGAGGCCGTGAGTAGGAGAACCGGCCTTGTCAAGAGCAAACAGTTGGTCTGTGGGGCAGTGTCTTCTCAGGGTTCCTGTGGACTTGGGAGTGACAGGATTTGAGAAGGAAAAGGGAGAGACTTTGGTTTTAAGTTATGTGTGTTTTGTGGCCAGAGGCAGCATCCAAGAAGCCTCGCTGAGGGGTTTGGGGGCAGGAAAGCCAGCCCTGGGATCTGGCTGGTGGCTGTGGGGTTGGTTTGAGGGCAGGGAGAGTCGGGGGCTGTGGTCTGGCCGCTGCTGCTCCTGCCTGCTGCCCTCCCCAGTGATGCTGCTTCCGGACCGTCCCCTGCCCCATGGGGCCCTGACTGAGCTGGTCTTCCTTGCAGAGGACGGAGAGGCTGTGAGCAGCTCCTACGAGTCCTACGATGAAGAGGACGGCAGCAAGGGCAAATCGGCCCCCTACCAGTGGCCCTCACCGGAGGCTGGCATCGAGCTGATGCGCGATGCCCGCATCTGCGCCTTCCTGTGGCGCAAGAAGTGGCTGGGACAGTGGGCCAAGCAGCTCTGTGTCATCAAGGACAACAGGCTTCTGGTCAGTCTGCCTCACGTTGTCTTGTACCCCCGCTCCTCTCAAGGGAAGGGGCAGGGACAGGGAAGGAGGGGCAGGGACAGGGAAGGAGGGGCAGGGACAGGGAAGGAGGGACAGGATGGTCCCTGACCTGAGAGGTTTCAAGTTTGTTTATATCAGGAGATTTTAACTTCTCCCTAACCTGAAATTGTATACAGGATTTTGTGTATATGGATGAATGTACTTTTTCTGAACCAGAGAGGTCTAGTAGTTTCACCAGGCTCTCAAAGAGGGCTGTGACTACCACTGCCTCCCCTGTCTCCATCCCATCCTCCTCTTTGTGAGACAGATACATCTTTCTGTCCCCTGATCCTTTTTCATGTCCTGTCCACTGGAGTCCATTCAGGCTCCTCCAGCCCAGCCCCAATTCTGGCTACTGTTTTTGTTGTTGTTGTTGATGATGTTTTGTTTGTTTTTTGTTGTTGTTTTTGAGACAGAGTCTTGCTCTGTCACCCAGGCTGCAGTGCAGTGGCGCGATCTTGGCTCACTGCAAGCTCTACCTCCTGGATTCAAGAGATTCTCCTGCCTCAGTCTCCTGAGTAGCTGGGATTACAGGCGCCCGCCACCACGCCCAGCTAATTTCTGTATTTTCAGTGGAGATGGGGTTTCACCATGTTGGTCAGGCTGGTCTCGAACTCCAGACTTTGTGATCCACCTGCCTCAGCCTCCCAAAATGCTGGGTTAACAGGCGTGAGCCACTGCGCCCGGCCCTTGCTACTGTTTTTATCTGTGCAGCATGAGAATGCTAGGTATCTTCTCAGAAACAACAATTATTTGAATAAGTGATTATAAGACCAGACCCAGCAAGGAACCAGATATTACTCTGACAACAGTCCTGTTTCCTGCTATTTTAAATTAAAATTCCCAGTTGCGTGTCCTGACTTGAAATTCCACGGAATTATTACAAACACCTTTTCTTGCTCCGTGCCAGTGTTATTTCAGGTAATCCTGTTAAGCAAGCCTGTAAGGTTTCCCCCATTTTACAAATAGGGAGCCAAGGGGTAAAGTATTTTCTCTGGTAGGGGAAGAGAATCCTTCCTTTCTTTGTTAACACATCATCTTCCTAACTAGGCAGAGAAGAAGCTTAGTGTTTGTGCCTTATGGATCCTTTACTCCAGAAGCCAAGCAAGCAATGCAGAGAGGTGGAGAAGGAGTGAAAGTCTGTCCACTTTGGAGAACTGAAAGGTGTCCACAAAGGACGTATTTTAGGGCCCCCCAGGCCTGGGGCAAGTTTGAACCATTTGGACAGCAGTATCCTGGAGCATCCTTGGCTGAGGCCAGTGAGAAGGAGGCTGGAGGGAGAGAGGGACAATCTGATGTGAAGAACAGGAGTTGCTGATATTTGAGGTTAAGGCTCCAGGCTGCTTCGGGGTGTCCAGCCTCTTAGTCTTGCTGGGTAAAGTTAGGCTCCTGGTGGGTCCTGCAATGTCCAGGGGCCCCTCCTTTGCAGACATCACCTCCGCCCGGCAGCCCTGGGAAAGTGGTATATTTTCTCTCTTTCCTTCCAGTGCTACAAATCCTCCAAGGACCACAGCCCTCAGCTGGATGTGAACCTGCTGGGCAGCAGCGTCGTTCACAAGGAGAAGCAAGTGCGGAAGAAGGAGCACAAGCTGAAGATCACGCCGATGAACGCCGATGTGATTGTGCTGGGTCTGCAGAGCAAGGACCAGGCTGAGCAGTGGCTCAGGGTGAGGGGGACACCGGACCACTTGGAGGGGCTCCTAGAGTTGTGGCCCCCAGCTTTTCTAAAGGGATGGATGATAGGGTCAGGGGTAGAAGATTTGTGATCCTTCAAGTTTGCAGGGCTTCCTGTGTTCTAAGTGGTAGTGATCTGTCTTCTGCAAATGGGTTACAGCATGCTGCTGCTAGGTCTGAATCCCCAGTAGCCCGGACTTGGGTGCAGTTGAAATCCATTCCCCTTTTTGCCTGTAGTGAGGCATCCCCCACCTACTTATTTATTTATTTATTTACTTACTTACTTACTTACTTACTTACTTACTTACTTTGAGACGGAGTCTCGCTCTGTTGCCCAGGATGGAGTGCAGTGGTGTGATCTCTGCTCACTGCAAACTCTGCCTCCCGGGTTCATGCCATTCTTCTGCCTCAGTCTCCCGAGTAGCTGGGATTACAGGCACCCGCCACCACACCTGGCTAATTTTTTGTATTTTTAGTAGAGACAGGTTTTACCGTATTAGCCAGGATGGTCTCAATCTCCTGATCTCACGATTCGCCTGCCTCAGCCTCCCAAAGTGCTGGGATTATAGGCGTAAGCCACCGCACCCGGCTCCCCCACCTCCTTATTAAAAAAGAATACATGTCGCTGTCATTTGCCATGTATTTGCCATAGACCAAGGACTATTAGCAACTTTAACCCATGTAACCACACTGGGGATGGCTGGGGAATGTTAATGTCCCCATATTACAGGAGTGGTGATTAAGGCTCGAAGGGTGGAGGTGATGGATCCAAGTCATCTGCCAAGTGGTGGCAGCATTGGTTCTCAGGCCTAGGCCCGTCTGATACAGTGCTGTGCCTCCTGCCACCGCAAATGCTTGTGGTCCACTCTGCCCACGCTTCCCCGGGTGTGATGATGATGAGCCACTTGGGGAGGGGCTTGCCTGCCCCAGGTGAAAGCTGGGCTTGATGCTTCCAGCAGGTGTAAAGTTTGCAACAGGAATAGATCCCCAATTCCAGAGGGACCTCCAAACCCAGCAGGGACCCTGGTGAGGCCAGCAAGAGCCAGAGCAGCCCTTCCCCTCCTTCCTGCTGCCCCTCCCCTCCTTCCTGCTGCCCCCTCTCCCATCACAACCAATTCAGCACAGGAGCATTCTATCTACCCTGCACCCCACCCCACTCCACCTGCCACCCACCTAAATGTAACCACCTTGGCCAGCCTGTCAGAAACAGATCTGGACCGCCTCAGCAAAACATGACCAAAATGTACCCACCTGAGGCACTGGTCCATCCCTAGGTTGAGTACCCTAGATTTGGAGCAGGCAGGCTGTTTTTGTAAACCCACTAATTGTTTTAGAAATGCCAGGCCTGGCCTAACCAAGCTTCTAGAAGGTGCTGACAGGTATCTCAGTCTTTACTGCAAAATCTTCAAGTGGTGCAAGACAGTGGCATGTAGAAAAGGAAAGGCCAGTGCATACACAGGTTTGTGGCTTGGCTTCACAGATCTCCAGGTGGGGTGGGGTTCCTGAGAGAGCTAACAAGCTCTGAAAGGCCAGCCCTGGGCATTTAAGAGCCAGGGCTCTGAGTTCAAATCCGGGCTTCACCCCTTTTTAGCTGAGTGATTTGGGACTGGATTCTTTAATGTGCACAAAGTGCTTAGCACTGTGCCTGGTACATGCTGAGTGCTCCATGAAACCTGGATACTACAGATAAGACCACTGAGGCCCAGAGGGAGTGGGGGGCTTGTCCTGGGCTGCAGAGCTGATTAGGACCCAGAGCTCTGGGCTGTTGGTTTCTTACCCCAGTCTCCTGGCTCCTATCCCTCCCCATCCTCACCCACTACACACACACACTCATTTGCACACATATATGCACACATGCACATTCATGTATACATTTGTATACACATAGACAAATGCACATGTATGCACATTTGCATGCACATTTATGTTCATGCATGCATTGTGCATGCGTGTGTACACACACACACACACACACACACACACACACACACACACTGCTCTTGCTCCCAGTTCCCCACTCTGTTTCTCTGACTGCTCAGATCCACTGATCCTCTCCCTGCCCCCCGGCTTCCCTCCCTAAACTCTCACGCCCTCTTCCTGAGACCCCTGACCCCACAGCCTCTGCTGGTGGTTTCAAAGACAAGAACGCTTTCAGAAAGCACAGACTTTCTGTGTCTGGCCTCCACAGAGAGACCCTTTCCCCCTGCTCAGATAAGTGCAGAGATGGACTTGGCTGGAAATGCCTGCTCTGAGAAGCTGCCCACTCTTGCGTTTTGGCAGTAGGGGCTGGTCCGCCTGTCCGATGGGCTCTTCACCTGGCTGCACTGGGTTTGTGAACCCCATCTACCTTCCTTGGGCCTCCGTGTCCCAATCCTGCATACTCACACCCATGCCCAGGGTGAGACAGGTATATATGGCAGTAAACGGGAGCTGCTGACTATGGGACGAGGGTCCCAGTAAAGGAAGGCACAAGGCAGGGGTTTGCCGGGAAGCATGACCCTGCCCCCACCCCACTCCTGAACTCCTGGCTTAGTGGCACTTTCCCTGGGCAGGGGCATCTGTGTATTTGGCCCAAGCTAATAGGGATGGTAATCGTGTGCCTGCGTACTTGATATACAAGTGCTTATAGCCGGTTCCTGGCAAAGGTATTGTCCCAGCTTACAGATGCAGTGGCTGAGGCTCGGACTCAATGTCACACAGGTGCCAACTCTAGTGCCTGCGCTCTTCCCTTGACACTGGGTTGCATATGCAGTGTGGACCACAGTCCCGAACTGGAGTTCTTGGGCTCTTCTGATTTGAAACCTGTTTCCACAAACTACTGTAGGCATAGACTGAAAGAGGAGAATCTTTGAAATCACTCTAACTAATTCTGCACCTCCAAAGGGCTTCCAGGTGGGCAGCGTGTTTCTGGTCACCCTTGGAGCTGCCCCGGGAAGAAGGGAGTGCTCCTGGCTCAGACGGAGGCAATGCTTTGCATAGTCAGAGCCACTGCTGACTTTCTGCATCTGCCCCCAGCCCAGGCTCCATTCCTCCAGCGGGCCAAACCCACCCACCCACCCTTTTCTGGACCCAGCCTCCCTCCCCAGAGTCTCACGCCCTCTTCCTGAGACCCCTGCCCCATAGCCTCTGCTCGGGGTTTCAAAGACAAGAACGCTTTCAGAAGGCACAGCCTCTCTGTGTCCAGCCTTTACAGAGAGACCCTCTTCTTCCACTGGTCACTGAAGCCAGTGAAGAGGCCCCTTCCCAGAGGAGGGTGGGTGGGTGGCGGCTGGCGAGTCGGGAGAGCCAGTGGGTCGTTGGAACAAGGCAGTTTGCAGGCCTGCTCCTCAGGCAGCGTGGAGACTGCGCAGAGTTGCCTGACCTCTGGAAAGCCAGAGGGACTGCCTAGCAAGGCAGTTGTTCGTCACATCTACAACAGAACAGTAGTCCTTCCTGGAGTGGTGGCAGGAAAGGGGCTCATGGAGCCCTGGGCTGTGGCTCTGGTCATCTTTGGCCTTTGCTGTCAAGGCCCCCCTTCACGTGCCCCTGAACGTGTGGGACCTGCAGAAAGGAGCCTAAAGGATGAGCCCTCCCCACTGCAGCCCTGCCCAGCTGGGTCCAGGGCCACATGCAGGCCTTGGGGCTGGGGTAGGGGCCCTCCTCCTCGGAAATTCTTCTTCTCTCTCACCTCCACCCATTCTCCCCTGACCTGCAGGGCCCCTGGCTTCGGCCTGGCTGTGAGTGCTGGCCGGAGGACCTCAGCCCCTGCTAACAGCTTCCCTCCTGCCTCAGGTCATCCAGGAAGTGAGCGGCCTGCCTTCCGAAGGAGCATCTGAAGGAAACCAGTACACCCCGGATGCCCAGCGCCTTAACTGCCAGAAAGTAAGCCTCTGCCCTGCCTGGAGGGAGAATCTCCTTCCATGTTTTCTCTAAAAATTAAAAGTGTAAAATTGGGAGCTTCGTTTTTATATTTCAGTCCAATTAACAAGAAACATACAATGCTTGAGGCCGGGCACGGTGGGCTCACGCCTGTAATCCTAGCACTTTGGGAGGCTGAGGCAGGTGGATCACCTGAGGTCAGGGATTCAAGACCAGCCTGGCCAATGTGGTGAAACCCTGTCTTTACTAAAAATACAAAAATTAGCCAGGCATGGTGGCGGGCACCTGTAATCCCAGCTACTCGGGAGCCTGAGGCAGGAGAATCGCTTGAACCTAGGAGGCGGAGGTTGCAGTGAGCCGAGATAGCGCCACTGTACTCCAGCCTGGGTGACAGAGGGAGACTCCATCTCAAAAAAAAAGAAAAAAAGGAAAAGAAACATACGCTGCTTGGAAAAGAGCAGCAATTCTAGCTTGGCAGGAAAATGGAGGAAACGGATACAGACCTAAAATACTTTCTTGCTTGTGGGTGCTGGGGGTGGGCAGGTGGGGGGACGGGGGAAGCTTTATTGGAACAAAAGTCACTTTGGCCTGCATTCTTAAATAGGGAGATTGATTTTATGAGGCACTTCCTTCCCCCTTATTCCTCAGTAGGGCCTCTGGGTCTGGGGTACTGTCTCAAGGCTGATTGCAACCAAAGGGCTGTAGTGCTCATTTGCATGGTGCTTTGGGGGAGCTTTGGGCTTAAAGGTCAAGGCTGAAGAAGTTGAATTAGGTTCTGGCCAAAAGGAGGAGTGTCACCTGTGGGGTCACATTTCCTGTCCCTGAGTACCTGCAGGTAGGTGTCCTGAAGTGTGGACACACACAGAACAGTCAGAACGTCACTGTGGCTGCTCTTGGGGTCCCCACCCTGGCAGGGGGGAAAACGAGGCACACAGAGGGCTGGAGCAGAAAGGAGGCTACTTACTCTCCAGAAGGCACAGGTCATCCCACATGGAGAAATAGCCCACAGTCCCTCCAGATTCCAGAGTGACTCAGGAGGGGCCATTTTTCATCGTCTCATGTATTCCTTGGCCACTGACAAGAAAACAAAAGTTGGAACGAATTTGGGTTTTCTTCACATTGGGGTGAGAATCAAGAGCTGTCCCTAAAGATTCGGCATGCAGTGCTTCACTGGCCAGGGACTGCTGGCCCTGGACCCTGCCTAAGGCCGGTCCTGTTGCTTGGGAGGCCGTCAGCTTGTTTTCTAGAGGTCTGGAGTCGGTGATGCTCTGAACGCAGCTTGATTGGAACGTTCTGAGGGTTTCATGTTCTAACAGCAGCAGCTGCTATACTTTTCTAGGGATCATCTTGAGTCCCCAACAGCCCTGTGAGCAGACGGGGATGTCACCCCCATGTGACACCTGCAGAGTGAGGCTCAGAGAGACTCATGTCACTCGGGCACCGGCCTGGCAGCAGAATGCTCCGGCCAGGACTCAGATCACATGGTCTGCTCCTGTGCAGACGAACCAGCTCGCGTTGCTAGAACAGTCAGCTCTCAAAAGACTTCTTCACGCTCTCAGTATGAGTAGTTGCTAGCTTGACAGCCAACGCCATCGGGGACGCACTCTAATGCTACCCATGAGCAACCTGCTTGCCCTGCCCAGTGGCTACAGGGTCGCCGTCACATCAGGTTGAACAGCCATTTGGAAGTTGGGCCAGTGTCCTACCAGCGACCTGGATTCTGCCGTTTAGGTGGCCGGCAGGGGTTTGCTCAGGCATATAATCTCTGGCATACAACGAACAGCCATCTATTATTTTCCCTTAAATTGTGGTCTCCAAGGTAACTGTTCCCAGCCAGTGATCTCCATTCATGTCTCTTTTGTCCATAGCCAGATATAGCTGAGAAGTACCTGTCAGCTTCAGAGTATGGGAGCTCCGTGGATGGCCACCCTGAGGTCCCAGAAACCAAAGACGGTAACATCATGTGATCGGGAGGGGAATGGTGTCCCAGGCTGTGAGACTGGGCTGTCGGGCTCAACCCTAATGGGTTTTAGCAGCTGGTTCTACCATGGCCTCCCATTAATAAACTACTTGGAAATACTGCTAATAGATCCAGGAAAAAGGGAGACACAGCCAAATTGAAGTTAAGCTTCATGAAATGCTGGGGATAGAATGTTCTTCCATCTCTTCTTGTTTGCTAACCCTATTTCAAATCTCTTTGAGCCAGTACAGTCTGTAAAGATTCTCAAGTGGTTGTATATTCTATAAGAAGTCTGTGTACCCCTCTTGAATGTGTGACTTTAAAGACACCTGACTCTGGCCTGCGGCTCCTGGTTTGGGGAGATGTGTGTGCATATGTGTGCGCATATGTAGCGGGGAGGGATGGGTGGATGGAGTGGAAATGGGTTTGCTATTTTTTCCATCTCTCATGGGCACGCGGGTGGACCACGTGCAATACCAATTGCTTTGCGTCTCATCTTGACAGTCAAGAAGAAATGTTCTGCTGGCCTCAAACTGAGCAACCTAATGAATCTGGGCAGGAAGAAATCCACCTCACTGGAGCCTGTGGAGAGGTCCCTCGAGACATCCAGTAAGAATTGTAGCTACCTCCGGGACCAGAGGCTCATTCCCTGGGCTGGAGCCTGCAGGAAGGCGAGCTCGGACAGTGAAGGCAGGGGGTTTTAGGTCTTTCGTAAACATCTTTAGGGATGGAGAGCCTGCAGCCGTCAGGTTCCCATCTGTTGTTACTGCAGGCAGTTCTTTATGCCTGATCCAACTCTCTCTTGCTGCATTGTTGGGGCCTTTGTGGAAGTGAAGGGTAACTGATTGGTGTCCTCCTAGAATTCTTTTAAAAATGATGTTCATGGCCGGGCACGGTGGCTCAAGCCTGTAATCCCAGCACTTTGGGAGGCCGAGGCGGGTGGATCACGAGGTCAGGGATCGGACATCCTGGCTAACATGGTGAAACCCCGTCTCTACTAAAATACAAAAACTAGCGGGGGGGTGGCGGGCGCCTGTAGTCTCAGCTACTTGGGAGGCTGAGGCGGAGAATGGCGTGAACCCGGGAGGCGGAGCTTGCAGTGAGCCGAGATCACGCCACTGCACTCCAGCTGGGAGACACAGCGAGACTCCGTCTCAAAAAAAAAAAAAAAAAAAAAAAAAAAAAAATGATGTTCATTTGATCTATATTTACAGGGTATGGCAGGGACCGTGTTAAAAGGGGACCAAGCAGAAGGATGGCAGGCACAGTACTGAGAGCTCACAGCCTGCCTGAGGGAGGTGATGATTTTATACCCATAAGCATGCACTGTGCCATCTTCGTAGCTATCGGGACTCAGGGACAGAGAGAACTTTTCTTGCCCTGTGGGCAGAGATAGCTTTGTGGACCTGAGCCTTGAGGGGCGTGTAGGAGCGGAATGGTACCTGTGGACAGGAGCAGTGACTCTGAGATGGGAACAGCCGAGACCATGAAGGGGACAGTGAGAACCCTGTACTGGTGCAGAGGGTATGGGTGCGGGACAGAGGTCATCTCTACGGCCTTCGTTCATACTTGGGGAAACTGAGGCTAGGAGGAGTGACAAGCCTTTCCTGGGAAATATCTTGGGGTGGGCCTGGTATCTTGATCCCCAAGCTGGTCCCACATTGGAGGTCATCCTTCCTGGGGCCTGAAGGCCATTGTCCCATCTCTGGGTTCCCTTCCTGAGTCCCAGCTGAGTTTTCTTGTGTTCTGAGGCTGGCAGGGTGCTGGGGGCGGGGGCATTAGGAAGGCAGTAGACAGGGCTGTATCTTTGCATTCTCCTGCTTCTCCAGCCAGGGTGCCAGGCAGTGGCCTCAGGGGGCATGATGTTTGGCCTGGGAGCCCGGTCCCTATGAGTCACTGTTTAAGAGATGTGGCTGGGTTATTGCTGGATGTCTACTCCGCAGTGAAGCATGCTCCCTGTGGCTAGGGGAGGACTGGGAGAACCACAGCTGCTCTCCTTCCCAGGACTGGGGCTGCTTAACACATCTGAGATCCCACCTCTCATGATCCAAAGTTCTCTTCAGTCCAGAGGATTGTGATGGGTGTGTGGCATCTCTGTCCTGGTCTCTAATTCTACCACTTTGTGTTAATATGGCTTGGCAATATGCATGATCCCCACTGTGTATCCAGCACTGGGACAGGCAGGAAGGTAGCTGTGCACTTTCACTCTATTGCCTGGTTCAGCAGGCCAAAGCTCAGGGCAGCTTCCAGTCCCTTAGGACACGGAAGGTGTCTGATGGGTTCTGAAGCTGAGATTCCGGGGGGACACTAAGGAACCCCAGAGGCGGTGCCAGCCCAGGACACACCTGGACACCCATGCCCTCCTGTCCCCACATCCCCTCCTGTCCCCGCATCCCCTCCTGTCCCCGCATCCCCTCCTGTACCCGCGTCCCCTTCTGTGCCCGCGTCCCCTCCTGGATCTGCAGCCCCAACCCCTCCTGCACCTGCATCCCCTCCTGCACCTGCGTCCCCTCCTGCACCTGCGTCCCCTCCTGCAGCCCCGCTCCCTCCTGCATCTGCGTCCCCTCCTGCATCCGCGTGCCCTCCTGCACCTGCGTCCCCTCCTGCATCTGCGTCCCCTCCTGCATCTGCATCTCCTCCTGCAGCCCCGCTCCCTCCTGCATCTGCATCCCCTCCTGCATCCGCGTGCCCTTCTGCATCTGCGACCCCTCCTGCATCCGCGTGCCCTCCTGCATCTGCATCCCCTCCTGCATCTGCGTCCCCTCCTGCATCTGCATCTCCTCCTGCATCTGCATCTCCTCCTGCATCTGCATCCCCTCCTGCATCTGCATCCCCTCCTGCATCTGCATCCCCTCCTGCAGCCCCGTCCCCTCCTGCAGCCCCGTCCCCTCCTGCATCCGCGTCCCCTCTCCATCTGCGTCCCCTCCTGCAGCCGCGTCCCCTCCCCCCCCCCTGCTCCGCCCCCCCCCCCCCCCCCTGCATCGCGTCCCCTCCTGCATCCGCGTCCCCTCCTGCATCCGCGTCCCCTCCTGCAGCCCCGTCCCCTCCTGCATCCGCATCCCCTCCTGCATCCGCGTCCCCTCCTGCAGCCCCGTCCCCTCCTGCAGCCCCGTCCCCTCCTGCATCCGCGTCCCCTCCTGCATCCCCGTCCCCTCCTGCAGCCCAGTCCCCTCCTGCATCTGCACTTCCTCCTGCAGGTTACCTGAATGTGCTGGTGAACAGCCAGTGGAAGTCTCGCTGGTGCTCTGTCAGGGACAATCACCTGCACTTCTACCAGGACCGGAACCGGAGCAAGGTGGCCCAGCAACCCCTCAGCCTGGTGGGTTGCGAGGTGGTCCCAGACCCTAGCCCCGACCACCTCTACTCCTTCCGCATCCTCCACAAGGGCGAGGAGCTGGCCAAGCTTGAGGTACCACCGGCCTGCGGGGCAGGGAGCAGGGTCAGCCAGGGTGTGGTGGTGGTGGCTGTTTGCTGCCAGTCTCTGGGACTGTAATCCTACCAAGGGAGAATCAATGTCCCCACGTGTTATTTTTCGTTTGCCTGAGATTGTTCGCATTTTTAAAAATTTCCATTCCTTTTCTGACCTCAGGGTGGTTGCATTATAGGAGTGGAACCATGCGCTACTTCCTGCACTTGGGGCAGGAGGAGTATTTTTAACTCCCTGAGCTACTGGAAAAAAGCTGCTGGGGATTCAAAGTGGGTGCTGTTTTGTTTGGGTGTCACCAGCTGGGAGAGCCTCTAGGCCCAGTACATAAAAACCACACTGTTAGAGCTTATCTGGGGGAAAAAATTCACTTTGTGATACAATTACATTCCTCTCACTCCCCATCCTGTTTGATATGATGTTACATTTACCAAATTAAGAAGTGATATAATGCCTTGCAAGCTGCTGCAAGCGGAGACTGAGTCCCTTCCACGCATGGAAGCACCCACTTGCCCGTGAATGCTCCTTCACTTAGTCTTTGATGAGGAGGTCCTCATTCAAACTTCGCTCCAATCCTGCCCTCTGGTGGCTGAAAGACCCACATCTCAATTGCTTCCCAGGGTCTAGCTTATAGCTTATATTTGTCCATTCAGCTGTTCCCCATCAACAAACATCTCCTCAGCACAGGAATATGGTGGATAAGAGCAATATGGGCTCCCTGTCCTTGTGGCACTTACGTCCTAGTTTGGGAGCGTGATGTTATTCAGCAAATCACCCAACTGATCGCTGAGCTTCAATGACTGGAAAGAAGTGGGGAGGGTGCTATAGATTTGTACTGGGGGCTGGGTGACAGGCTGGGAGCAACAGAGCCCTGATGGCTTTCAGGGGAGGGCAGCAAGCTCAGATCGGGGTTCTGAGATGCTTCCTCTGGCTACTGGGGTGGGAGTGGATGGAAGGGGGCAAGAAGGGACCTGTTAGGAAGCTGTCACAGCTGTCCAGGGCAGAGACGCAGCCTGGACTAGGGGAGGCCCATGAAAAGCTGTATTTAGAATCCAGTTGAAACTAAGTGGGGGTTGGGCATGATGGCTCACGCCTGTAACCCCAGCACTTTGGAAGGCCACGGCGGGTGGATCACCTGAGGTCAGGAGTTTGAAACCAGCCTGGCCAACATGGTGAAACCCTGTCTCTACTAAAAATACAAAAATTAGCTGGGGGTGGTGGGGCACCTGTAGTCCCAGCTACTTGGGAGGCTGACACAGGAGAATTGCTTGAAGCCGGGAGGCAGAGGCTGCAGTGAGCCAAGATCCCGCCACTGTGCTCTAGCCTGGGCCACAGAGCGAGATTCTGTCTTAAAAAAAAAAAAACAAAAAACTGTGAAAAAGAAATCAGCTAAATGTCAAATTCTGCTCATCGCGACCTCTTTGGTGAAGAGAATGTAGCAGCAAAAGTTATGGAGTTATGGGTTATACCAAAGGGAGCTGATTTTCCTCATGAAAATAAACCTATAGCTTTGATTAAATGGGCAGTTTTTTCTTATTTTAAAGAAACAATGTTGACATTTTAACTGAGGTACCCAATGGATGAATTTGATGAGAATGCATTGTCCCCTGGGGAAAAAAATACCAAATTCACTGGGATTTTGATCACAGTTTAGCAGCTGAGCTAGTGTAAGGCACTTAAAAGCTGTCCCGACTTTACTGAAGCCACGAACAAAAATAAATTTGAATGTTATTTCTTAGGGATCCAGGGAGTCTTGTTGTATGTGGGATTAAGGTGATGACATGCATCGTTCATAAAATACAAGTGTCAACTTAAAAGACAATTTTTTAATCGTTTTAAAAACTAACAGGTGATCACTAACAATTTTTAATAGTGATCACCTGGTGATAAGTTTTCACCTCCTAAACACACAATGTATATAAATCTCATATGGCCCTTGGGACAAAAATCCACAGCATTACTGAGGTGGCATCAAGATGTCACTGACGGAAATGTGATTTGGGGCCATTGGGGGCTGGGTAGGCTGGTGAGCAGGAAGGGCATGGCCCTGGGCTGTTACAGAGGCTTTTGTGGGTGGGCTCTGGGGTAGGGGTGCGGTCATGGCCTGGTGGGGAGGGGCTGGCACCAGGCAGCACAGCCTGGCCCTGCTCATGTCTCTCTTGGCCTCGTTCCAGGCCAAGTCTTCCGAGGAAATGGGCCACTGGCTGGGTCTCCTGCTCTCCGAGTCAGGCTCCAAGACAGACCCAGAAGAGTTCACCTACGACTACGTGGATGCCGATAGGGTTTCCTGTATTGTGAGTGCGGCCAAAAACTCCCTCTTGTGAGTAATTTGGACCCTTCCTCTGTATACTCTCCTATTCCTGGCCATGCTGCAGGCCCTGGGTCAGCCGGAGTCGGGGGCAGCAGAGAGCACAGGGTCCCACCCCTCTCTACCCAGCAGTAGGAAGATGCGAAGCCAAGGAGCAGCCCTCAGGGAGGCCCGGCCAACGGCCAGGAGCTGAGCTAAGAGCAAGGAGCCGAGCCAGGCTTTGGGCCCCGGGGGCGGCTTTGGCATCCTCGGCAGCAGTTAGACTTTCCAGCTCCTCCGGGCAGAGCTGTCCCTTTTCCTGACTTCCTACTTGTCCTTCCAGTGAATCCCTCACTGGGTCTCCAGCACACCCTGGAGAAAAGCAGGTCAGGGGGTGGTGCTTCTGTTTCCAGATGAGCAAACGGGCTGAGGGAGAGGCGTTTTTTGGTCAGGGTGGTAAAGCCAGTCTCGTGGAAGCCGGCCGAGCCACTGAAACAATCAGTTTTCTCATGGACCAGACAGGGATAGTGTGGCGGGCGCCACCTCAAGTGTATTGTGAAGATGAAATGAGAAGGGGTTTTTTGTTGTGGTTGCTGGAAGGAGATCCTAGAAGGGAGGAATTGGGGAGAAGATGGCAAAGGGATCCTCCTAGAATGAGGCGTATGGGCAAGGGAAGGTTGTCTTTCTGGGAGGAAAATCTCGAACCAAGAATTCCAGGAAGAAGGCACTGGGAAAGAGGGAGGAGGTGCCCTCTGATCCATGGAGGTGGGTGTCCCAGATCTCTTGTGTGGCTACCACTTTCATGGCAACCACTCATCACTGGGAATCCTTGGAGCCTGGTGCTTTTGCCACCCTGCCCCGGGTGCTTCATGCATGCCACCTCGGCCTGTTTCCAGACTGATGCAGAGAAAATTCTCAGAGCCCAACACTTACATCGATGGCCTGCCTAGCCAGGACCGCCAGGAGGAGCTGTATGACGACGTGGAACTGTCGGAGCTCACAGCTGCGGTAAGGACCTGGCCAGGCAGCCGCCTGGGACTCTACAGCCCTCCTCCTGCAAACCTCAATCCCAGAGATCATTAGAGTATCCCTGAGATTGAGTGGGTTCTGAGTCACCTACCAGGCCATTAGTGCAGACACCTAAGTGCAACAAGACTGTCTCCTATATGTGAGGCTGTGCAGTCTGCTTGGCTTGGGGACTTATCTAGATGAAAACACTGGTGAACCACTCTGGTCAGGGCTAGGGGTGTGGTGGTGGGATTGGGAGTGGAGGCACCAGTAGGCTTACCAGGCCCAAATCGACTGTCGAGTGGGATGATCACAGCGATGGCAGCTTCCACGTGCTGGGCACTGAACCCTGTGCTGAGCTGAGGACCTCCCACAGATGATCTCCTTGAACCCTAACCACCTTATGGGAAGGTGCTGCTCTTTACCTCTTTACAGATGAGGAAATAAGGTTCAGGGAAGTTAAGTGCTCTGTCTGGGTCTTCCACCTTGAGTGACATATCTAGGACTCAACCAGTGGCCCCCACCAGGAGGGAGGGAGATCTCTTGGACCATTGTGAGGTGGGCACCAGAGCTGTGAGGCAGGGCTGGTACCCCCTCCACAGCTGAGGGAGTGGAGGTAATGGTGAATGCCCCAGACTCTCTCTCTTCTGCAGGTAGAGCCTACCGAGGAAGCCACCCCTGTTGCAGATGACCCAAATGAGAGAGAATCTGACCGAGTGTACCTGGACCTCACACCTGTCAAGTCCTTTCTGCATGGCCCCAGCAGTGCCCGGGCCCAGGCCTCCTCCCCGACGTTGTCCCACCTGGACAATGCGACTGAGGCCCTCCCTACAGACCCAGGCCCAGGTCCCACCCCAGATGAGCCCTGCATAAAGTGTCCAGAGAACCTGGGGGAACAGGTACAGGCCCTCCCCTGCAGGAAAGCCAGACCACCTTCCCACGCCCCTTCAGCCTGCTGAGCCAGGTCTGCTTTCCCCCACAGCAGCTGGAGAGTTTGGAGCCAGAGGAGCCTTCCCTGAGAATCACCACCGTCAAAATCCAGACTGAACAGCAGAGAATCTCCTTCCCACCGAGCTGCCCCGACGCCGTGGTGGCCACCCCACCTGGCGCCAGCCCACCTGTGAAGGACAGGTTGCGCGTGACCAGTGCAGGTACTTGTGCTTGAGGAAGTTAGCCCGATTCCATCTGTATTAGTCAGGGTTCTCTAGGGGGAGAGAACTAATAGGACAGATGTACATATGAAAGGGCATTTATAAAGGAGAATTGACTCACACGATCACACAGTCAAGTCCCACAACAGGCCATCTGCAAGTTGAGGAGCAAGGAAGCCAGTAGTGGATCAGTCCAAGTCCCAAAGCCTCAAAAGTAGGGAAGCCGACAATGCAGTCTTCAGTGTGTGGCCAAAGACCTGAGAGCCCCTGGCAAACCACTGGTGTGAATCCAAGAGTCCAAAAGCTGAAGAACTTGGAGTCTGATGCTCGAGGGCAGGAAGCATCCAGCACAGGAGAAAGATGAAGGCTGGAAGACTCAGCAAGTCAAGTCCTTCCACGTTCTTCTGCCTGCTTTATTGTAGCCACGCTGGCAGCTGATTAGATGGTGCCCACCCAGACCGAGAGCAGGTCTACCTCTCCCAGTCCACTGACTCAAATGTTAATCTCCTTTGGCAACACACTCACAGACACTCCCAGCAACAATACTTTGCATCCTTCAATCAAGTTGACATATTAACCATCCTTTAGACATCCTTTACACACCATCCTTTTCAGATTAGGAAACAAGTTCAGAGAGGTAGAGGCCCCTGTCCAGGTCTGGCATCCAGCCTAGCAGGGCTTTGTACCAAAGCCCCAGGTTCTATCCGAGCCAGTAGATTGGGGACAGCCCTCATGATCCAGTCGTGCTGACCTGGGGCTTCCCTCTCTGGGTCCGTAGAGATCAAGCTTGGCAAGAATCGGACAGAAGCTGAGGTGAAGCGGTACACAGAGGAGAAGGAGAGGCTTGAAAAGAAAAAGGAAGAAATCCGGGGGCACCTGGCTCAGCTCCGGAAAGAGAAACGGGAGCTAAAGGAAACTCTATTGAAATGCACAGGTAAGGGGCCTAAGGGGCCTAAGGGGCACCCCCAGTGGGGAGGGACCCTCAGCTCAGAGGGCTGTTGTAGGCTTAACTTTTTGGCGGAAGATCTAGCTGTCACCTGCCTTCCCAATCAGTGGGCCCTGGCCCCTTCAACCCTTGGCCTAGGTGGGTGCTCCTTGTGTGTCCTCTTTGACACACAATCCTGTCTGAAAGGCCATTCTCCTGGACATAGAGAGAAAGCCTATGACAGAACATCAATAGGACCAGCAGGTCATTGTGAAAAGCTAGTTAAAGGAGTAAGTTTTGTGGATTATGCATAGGCCATAAGTATTTTATTGTCACTTAAATGCATATTCCTTGGCCCATCTTTTGAAGACCTGGCACTGCAGATTTTTTGAGCTCTGGTTGGCTGACTGGAGTCTCATGTCATCCTTCATGCATTAACTATACCTGTTAATGCATCAGCCTTCATTTCTTTAAAGTCAACAAAAACTTAAGACACTTGCCAAGAAGTCTTTTAGATTATCTTCCAAATCACACTCATATCATTTGACAGCTATTTCCTGGCAATCTGCTGCATTTAAAATTTTAAAATTAAAAAAAAAAATTGAGATGGGGTCTCACAATGTTGTCCAGGCTGGTCTAGAGCTCCTGAGCCCAAGGGACACCTGCCTTGGCCTCTCAAAGTGCTGGGATTACAGGTGTAAACCAGCTGCAACCTGCCTCTTCTAGAACCTTTTCAAAGTATTTGACTTAGTGTTCAAGGAGTAACTTTTTGTTTATTTAAATTGTAGAGGTGCATGAACAAGCATAAGCAGCAGTGCAGATTTGGGGACAAATTCAGCTGACTGGTGAGGGAAGGTCTTGAGAATGCAAAGTCACCCACTGGCTTTTTTTCTTTTTTTGAGACAGAGTCTCGCTCTGTTGCCCAAGCTGGCATGTAGTGGCACGATCTTGGCTCACTGCAACCTCTGCCTTCCAGGTTCAAGCGATCCTCCTGAGTAACTGGGATTAAAGGCACATGCCACCACGCCCAGCTAATTTTTGTATTTTTAGTAGAGACGTGGTTTCACCATGTTGGCCAGGATGGTCTCAAACTCCTGGTCTCAAGTGATCTGCCCACCTCAGCCTCCCAAAGTACTGGGATTACAGGTGTGAACCACCTCACCCAGCTTGAACTGTATTTTTTTAAACTCCAATCTTCAAAACATTATTGGTATATGTTTTCTTTTCCTTCTGTCTTTAGAGATGGTCCTTCAACAGCATCTATGAATTTTTCTTAAACAGTGGCCCTGTGCTCAGAACTCTGTGTGGTACATACGTGATACCATCCTTTCCTCCAGCAGTGAGCTTCTAGGATACAGGCCCTAGGCATCATTTCATGGTGTGACAGCAGCAACCCGAGAGGTTCAGGGTTAAGAGGAGGAGCCAGGGCTGAGGACTCCTCCTATGTTAGGCCTAGGGAAGTCAGAGGATTGAGGGAACTCGGTAGGGCAAGTCAAGCTGCCCAGCCCTCCTCCATGGGCCATGAATAAAGCCCCTCACCCTTTTGGGTCACTGTCAAAACAACCAAGAGTCTCTGAGAATCTACAAGAAGGGGCTTAAGCCTCAGACTCATGCCCTTTAGTGAAGCCAGAGCTCTCCTCCCCAAGAGCCTCTTAGCCTTTGCAGAATGCTAACTAGAGCAGGCCTGCAGGCTGCCCCGGCACACAGGCCCCCCACCCCCGGCTCTTAAGTGTTGGGGCCAGACCTGTGGTCCTTCTTGGGTGGTGAGGTATGTAGATCCTGCCTCCACCCAGCAGGGCTCCCTGGCCTGGGCCGAGATGCTGTTCTCTGAGGCCTGCATACTTCTCTCTCCAGACAAGGAAGTCCTGGCCAGCCTGGAGCAGAAGCTGAAGGAAATGGATGAGGAGTGCCGGGGTGAGGAGAGCAGGCGTGTGGACCTGGAGCTCAGCATCATGGAGGTGAAGGACAACCTGAAGAAGGCTGAGGCGGGGCCTGTGACACTGGGCACCACTGTGGACACCACCCACCTGGAGAACGTGAGCCCCCGCGTGAGTGCTGGAGCCACGGTCTCTGGGCTGCTTGTAGGGCTCCCTGGACATGGGTTGGGGCAGGTGGGTCACATCTCCCTCCCCTTGACTCAGTCCTTGCTCTCCTCCTGTAACCATAGCCAAAAGCTGTCACACCTGCCCCTGCCCCAGACTGTACCCCAGTCAACTCCGCAACCACACTCAAGAACAGGCCTCTCTCAGTCATGGTCACAGGCAAAGGCACTGTCCTCCAGAAAGCCAAGGTAAGTAGTCACTCCCAGTCTCCCTTGGGGCCAGCAGGAATGTCACTAAGATAGGGGCCCATCTTCTGACCCAGGTGGTGCTTTGTGGCTTTTGGCACCAGCTCTGAGCAAGGGCTTGGCACTCACCAGGGAGTGGCAGTGGCTTTGCCATGCCTTTGGCTCAGTCTTTCGCACTGACCAACCAGAAAGGTGCCTGCACTTGGTTCGCGTGTCCTTCCCTGTGAACTTGGGGATACTTCAGTTCTTACCCTATTCCAGCAGGACAGCTGCAGCTCAGGGACAGATTATGACAGTTTTCAAATCAAAAAGTCAGTTACTCCACAGGACTTCTACCATTAAAACTAAAGAAACAGACTCACATAGGTGGTTTGAATTGTCCAAAGTTGACCACCCAACTAGTGGCAAAATTCTCAGCAAGTTGTAAATGAGGAATCCATGCTATGATGTAGTTTCTCCCTGAGGGTTAGTCAAAAAGTATCATTAATCATTTACTCATTTGTACACTAAAGAACATGCCTAGGGCTGCCTTTGGCAAACTCTGTTCTTTATTCCTATCCTGCTTACTTGCTGGAGATATTTGGAGGTGCTCACAACAATGGCTAACCAATAATTCCATGCAAGCATCTGAACCTCCACTCCCTTGTTGCTGTGGGAGACATCACTTACAGGCACTCGCTGTTGTGCCACAGTCTCAAAAATCTCTGAATAGGCACTCTAAGCAGTGATGAACATACAGGGTTTGAAACCTGTTTGTCACCTCTATGCCTAAAATAGTTTTTCTCACATTTTTTCTATGTATATCAAAGTTGCTACAGTGGATAACTAACTATCTTTTTTGTGGGGGGTGGGTGCTCATATTGGAATGGTACCCTAGGAATGGGAGAAGAAAGGAGCAAGTTAGAAAACAAGCTTCATCTGAAGACTCTCATGTCAATGTGGACCTTGGTGACAATCCTGCTTTGTTAAAGCAAAAACTCTGCAAAAGGGTGAGTCTGTTTAGAAGAAAAAGCAAAGACTGAGGTACTGTGAATGGCAAGCTTCAGCTAAGAGGAGGATCTGTCCCTTTTCAGAGCTAAAGGAAATAATACAACAAAAAGGAGGCTTCTTTGGAGACCTAAGTATATTGGATGTAAACAAGACATTGTATTTAGGGATGTTGTGTGTTTCTTTTTTGAAGTTGTCATCAATTGCTTTACTAAGATTTTTAAATAGTAAAAACCTCATGTTTAGACTTTGGTGGAAGATGAATCAAGGAAGCAGGGCCCTGTCTTATGGGTCACCTGGCTTTGGTGAGTGAGAAGACCTAAACTCCTGGCCATCGTCTCTTATCCAATACTTAGCAGTTGGGGATTAAACCATCCTTGCCTTCAGTTCTCTCCAATATTACCAGGCCCAACTCAGTCTTCAGTGATTTTAAAAAGCATTGACATCCAGAAACAGTAATGGGGGAAAATATTTGGGACCAAGCTGAAGCACTGATCCCACTAAGTTAAATACTTCTTTCCAGTCTAAGGCAGGCCTGAATCAACTGTCTTTAAATAAAATTTTAAGTGATGCTGTATTATATATAGGAAAAAATGCTTAAAATCCTGTCATTTAGAAACAGTGAAAAGTGTCTTTTGAGATTAAACTGACTCTTTACCATAGGGAAAAATATTACTGTGTGTTTACAGATTCATTCCTGTGGTCGGGCCATTTTTAAGGGAAGAGTTATTTAATATAAATAGTCCCTGATTTTAAATTCTGTTTAATGATGTCCATTCCCCTTCCAAGAACAAAGTGGTGAATTTTGGTTAGGCTGGTCTCCCTCTTAAAATTGGCAGTGCTGTTCCTTGTGCTGCCCCTGTCTTTTCCTGATTTTTTTTTTTTTAAACACACGTTGAAACATTTCATCTATTATCTCTGCCTCATTTCTGGGGGGTTGTGTATCAGTTCTCTAACACTTGTTCCTGAGAACTAAAGGTCTTTTTTTATTCTTATTTCCTCTCTCATAAACATTTGGTGACCTTTTACCAAGTGGTGAGTTAGATTTTTTTTTAAATAAAATGTTCATTGTATTTGAGGTTTTCCTTGTATTTCATGAAATGACTTGGGGCAGGGCCTGGGGGGTTCTCAAGGGAGGAAATGTTTTGGTTATTTACACACTGAACTACAAGATGGGGTCCTAGCAGGAAACTCAGCCTCCTTGAATCAAAGAGCATAGATAAGACTGAAAGCAAATTTTAGTAGTACAGTTAACAACATACCAAAGACACAGGAAACATCTGCAGAAATTGATCATATGTAAGTAAATGAAAAATCAGTACTCCCACAAGTTAAATATACTCCTAAAGAATTCTTGGGAAAAAAGAAACATACCAATACTGGGAAGGTTGCCTAAGTAGTAATTAAGGAAGTTTATAGCATAAATGTGTTTATTTAAAAAATGACAAAACCAAAATCTGGTTCATTAAAAAGACTAATAGACAACCTAAGGCAATATAAAATAGCAGAACTGAAATGGAGGCCCTAAGTACAGATACTGACAAGAGTTTTCAAATTATATCTGTGTAAAGTTTGAGAAATATGTATTTTCCATTATAAGGTTAGTATAGCTCTGATACCAAAAATCCAAAACAAATTGCAAAAGTAAACAAATCTCATTGTTGGACACAGATTAAAAGAATCTGAAATAAAATGCTGGCAAATGAAATTCAGCAGGGTTTATAGAATGATGTTTAATGACCAAATAGAATTTATCCAGAAAAATCAAGGGTGGTTCAATGACTGAAAATATATAAATGGATAATCTATCACATTATCTTGAAGAAGAAAAAGCATACCAAAAATCTCAACATATAATAAACACTCTTAGTTCATCTAGGAATAAAGCATTCTTAAACTGATAAGTAACCCATAGAAAACAATTATAATGATGAAAAAGTCAAGAACCAGATATGGATACCTGCTACTTTGTGAAACATTATTCTGGAGGTCCCAGGTAATGCAAAAAGACGTGGTATACAACTTTAAAAGGAAGAGACAAGAACTAGGATCATTTGGAAATACTTCTCTAGAAAAGCAAGAGTCAATTATTAGAACTAGGGTATTCAACAGGATGACTGGAATCAGGATCATTCAGAGAAAATAAGGAAATTTATGGCCTATATGCAATGTTTTAATTCTTGCAAGGAAAATATATTTGTCTTACTTGAATAAGTAATTAAAGGTAAAAATTAAAGCTAATTTCTTTTAAATGAAAGAAGGCTTGGCTAGTTAGGCCAAAGGATAGCATTTTCCTGGGGGACTGACAAAAGCTGAACTATTCAGTGGCACCATCACTACAAAAGGGGAAAAAATATTTCAGAGGTGGGAACACCATCTCCTACAAAGAAACGGTAAAGGTCTTTATAAGTCCAGAGCCCAGAGTTTGCTGTTTAAATCCAAGTAATTCAATCAGGGCACCCAAATACCAGCCCGGAACAAGACAAAAAGCCTACATTATAACATGGTTAAACTGCTATTTAAAGACAATGCATTCATGTAATTTCTATGACATCACTGATCAGCATCTGCCAGGGAGCACATGATGCTGCCCTGGACGTTGTCTTCTGTGAAGGGCAGCATAACAACAGAATATTATCAAGGACAGTATCCCTTGAATACAGATGATTATGACTCAATGTCTGGTACACCAGACTTTTTAATATCTAAAATCATGGTGATACTACTTCAAGCACTTTTCTAGCACCAGAAATCCTGAAGTTCTTAAAGCCAAAGTATGCTTGAATGTTTGTCTATAAAACATTATGTTAAAATATTTATAAAGAAAAACAGGCCGGGCACGGTGGCTCACCCCTGTAATCCCAGCACTTTAGGAGGCCAAGGCAGGGATATCACCTGAGGTCAGGAGTTTGAGACCAGCCTGGCCAACATGGTGAAATGCTGTCTCTACTTAAAATACAAAAATTAGCCAGGCATGGTGGCATGTGCCTGTAATCCCAGCTACTCAAGAGGCTGAGGCATGAGAATCACTTGAACCTGGGAGGCAAAGGTTCCAGTGAGCCGAGATTGTGCCACTGCACTCCAGCCTGGGCAACAAGAGCGAAACTCCATCTCAAAAAAAAAAGAAAAACGATAAGGTGTCTGGAGTTACGTCAGAGCTCTAGAAAGATTTCTACTGAAAATCCAACTCTAAACAACACAACTAAGAAGAAGAAGTAATTCCTAAATACTGCAGGGATAGTAAGTAAGTATCTAGTTTGCCAGAGAATATTCCAAACATGCCTCTTTGCCGCATAGGTACAAATATCCCTGTTTAGTAAATAACCAACATTTCTTGAAATATTTCTTTAAAAGCTATGTAGAAAAGCAAAGCAAAACAAAACTAAAACCTAGGCAGCGTAAGATCAATGCTTTAGAAAGCAAAATCTCTGTTAAGTTTCTTTATCCTATATTTTTGAGTTTAAGAATCTTCTCTTTGCCCCACTAAAAGGAGAATAAGGAAATAATTCCATAAACACACCACAACCCCTCCTAAGTAAATTTTTTTCTTTTTGACAGATTTTCACTCTTGTTGCCCAGGCTGGAGTGCAGTGGTGTGATGTCGGCTCACTGCAACTTCCGCCTCCCGGGTTCAAGCCATTCTCCTGCCTCAGCCTCCCGAGTCGCTGGGATTATAGGCATCTGCCACCACGCCCGGCTACTTTTTGAATTTTTAGTAAAGACGAGGTTTCACCATGTTGGCCAGGCTGGTCTCAAACTCCTGACCTCAGGTGATCCGCCTGCCTCGGCCTCCCAAAGTGCTGGGATTACAAGCGTGAGCCACAGCCTCTGGCCGTAACCTCTTTTAAAGGAAGACCTTTCAAGTGGACACTGCTCACTACTCAGAACAATTTCACCTCCAGACCTGGGCCAGTTGCACACTCAGCTCCTCCCCCATCATCAAACAAGCTGGTTAATTGGTCACATTTCAGTCTGGGACCTTTCCAAGTCTCTTCCACACACAAAAGGCAGTCACCAGAAGTCAAAAATGTCCCTCAAGCCCCCTTTCAGACTCAATGCAAATGCATCCAGGATGTCTATGGGGAAGCAGAAAAGCCGCTGCTTTCCATTTTGAAAGGCTGTGGCCTTCACCATCCAAAGGATGCTCTAGTAAAGGCCTCTGCTGGGCATTACTGTGTCAACAACATTCTAGCTAGCATTGATTGTGGGCAAAGGAATGTCAGGCCGCTAAATTTAAGGCTTCGGGACCCCTTGTTTATCCTCAAGGAAAAGGTGGCAGATGTCATAGCCTCAACAAGGCACAGCAGATACAGAAAGTCGGTATTTACTTACACATCAAAAGTTTTCAACAACATCGTTTCTGGGTGACATCAGCTGCTTTCTTGTCTCTAAGCAGCATGGCTACAGTTGGGACATCCTCCTCCCTCACTGAGAATAATGGTCCTGGCCACAGCGGGAAGCAGACATTCTAAGGACCCCCAGGGCACAGATGTTCCAGAAGGCAGGCACCATTTCAGTGCCCAGGCCTTCTCTGTAGTTGCTGGGAGGGGTATGGCTGCTGCCCTCCTGCATGGGAGCCACGTGCCTCGGGGGCGTCTCCTCTCAAGAATCCTGGGGAAGGAGGTGAACTCTGAGGACAGGAGTGTCTGCATCCCCTTCTCAGCCCTCCAGCAGCCTCTGAGGACCCCTTCAGGTCCCGATCCCACTCTACAACCCACCTCGCCCCCAGCAGAAGATGCCAGATCAGAGACCCCATCAGATTGTCCTCCAGAGTTTCTCTCTGGCCTTAGGAAGCCAAACTCTGCCCATGGCCAAAAAACCAAGGCTCCGACTGGACTTGTCTTCTGATTTCTGGCTGTTCTTACTTCAAACTCATGAACGGGAGTCATAAGTGGACCTCTAATGCCTCCCAACAATCACTCTCTAGGCCCTAATCTGTTACCCTTCTCTTGATAGTCATTTCTTTTCTCTCAAACCTCTGGCACCTCCTCCTCATCCTCACTTAGCTGTTCTTCCCATTTTACTGAGCAAATAGAAAGCACCCCAAAAAGAGCTTCCAGCAGCTCCCACCACTGCATTTACCCATCCCTGCCTCTGTCTGCCCTCCTGTACCCTGGATCCACTGTGCTCCTAACTGTGGCCTCCCTCCTAGTTGTCATGACTTTCTCTAGGGTGCTGTGCACCGTCTAACACACCACATGTTGTATTATACTTAATTTGTTTCTTGTCTGCCTCCCCATTAGAATGGAAGCTCCATGAGGGCAGAGGTTTTATTTGTTTACTGCTATGTTCCCGCACTTAGAACAATGCCTGGGATGCATGAGGTATTCACTAAATGTTTTGTGGGGAAATGACTGAATAATTCCTTCCACTGAACGAATGCTTTAGAACCTGCCTTCAGCTGAGTTTGTGGGACTTGGCAGGACTTGCAATACCATCCCTGGCTGACACATGCAGAGCAAGAGTTCCACTCACGGTTCTCACAGTGGGGGCCCTCCCAGCCATCCCGGCACTCGCAGCGGTAGCTCCCGTTCTGCAGGACACAGCTGCCCTCATTCATGCATGGGCTGGGTTTGCAGAGGTTGACTGGCCGCTTGGCTTCTGCAATGGAGAACACACCCACCAGGCCGGCCGGGCATGGGTTAGACCTGAAATCCCCCACCCTAAGTAAGCCCAGTAGAGGTGCAAGGCTACTAGAGTCATGTCTCCCTTTGCCCTGGTAGCTCATGGTTGGTGCTGCATACAACTTGGCTAGGTTAGTAAGATCCAGCTCTCCTACAGACTCATGGAGAGTCCATTGCTCAGATGTGCCATACATATGGCAGACTTTTCTGTTTGTTTGTTTTTGAGGTGGAGTCTCCCTCTTGTTGCCCAGGCTGGAGTACAATGGCGCGATCTTGGCTCCCCACAACCTCCACCTCCCGGGTTCAAGTGATTCTCCTGTCTCTTCTAAGAAGGTGAAGAGGAGGTCACTGGATTTGGGCTGGCCCTGTTTGCTCTGGGCTCTGTCACTGCCCAAGTCAGTGTCAATGTGGGATCTGTAGACCCTTAGGAAGCTTGTGGATATCCTAAAAGTGGGTTCTGTTTAAAGGGAATGCATTAATTCTCAAGTTTGGGAGGGAGTTATCTATGTTAGTTAAACTTTCTATACCTTAAATGTCAAATGGGGATGGTTATACCTACTGTAGGATTTTATGTGAGCATGGGATTTAGCACAGAACCTGGCAGTTGGGAAGCAAGTGCTCAGTAGCTGGGAAGAGCTGCCATCCTTGCCATGATGTATGTGAAGGCTCAGGCTGAAGGCCTGCCATGGGGATAGCCCTGAGCATGTGGATTCCCCCACTCACCTCCACACAGCCACTCAATGAGCACGTCCTGGTGGTACCGCAGGTCGGTGTAAGCTGCCACGTGGATCAGGGAATCCCGGGGACCTGCAAGCCTCCGCAGACCCTCGCTTAGGACAGGCCCCACGCCCATGACCAAGACAGAGATGCCGTTGTTCCTCAGCTTCTGGGCAGGGACAGCCGCGTCCTCTGCGCCTCTCCCGCCTGTGAGCACCACCACAGCTTTGGGGACACCAGGCCGGGCGCCCCTCTGGACAGTCATCACTTTGTCATAGATGTGCAGCAGGGCGGTGCCGGCTGAGCCCACCCCACCCAGGTAGGGGGCCTGGCTAATGGCCCGCAGCAGCGCAGCCTGGGTGGGTTTGGCGTCCAGCCCGAAGGCAGTCTGCACCTGGCTGCCATACACCACCAGGCCGACCTGTGTCACGTCAGGGTTCACCTCAAACTGGAGGGCACAGCTTCTCACAAAGCTCTGCATCTGAGCAAAGTTCTCAGGCCCTACTGAGGCAGAGGTGTCCAACATGAAGACGAGGTCCAGGGCTTGTGTCCGGCACCCTGCAGGAGCAAGCAGAGGGGCGTCAGCAGTGGATCTGCCAGTCAGAGCCCCTCGACGGGACCCAGGGACTGCCTGGTTGGGTAGGGCCCAGGTCAGCCAGGGTGCTCTTTTCACGGCAGAATCCACCCTCTATGTCTTCCTTTTAGCCACAGAACAGCACTTTCCTAGAATATTAACAGGAAGATGAGTGCCTGGCCAGACCACATTTCTCAGCCTTCCTGGCAGCTAGGGTGGCCACGTGTCTTAAGTTCTATCTGACGGATGTGATCAATTTCAAATTCATGCAGCTGGAAGCTGCTTACCTTCCACTTCCCCTCTCCCTCTTCCTGCCGGCTGAGAAATGGTGACCTTGGACCTCAAGGTGGAAGCCATAAGATGACCAAGCCCTGCTGGCCCAGGCCACTCACCTCTGAACTGTATGTGAGACAAATAAGTTCCTGTCTTATGTAACCCATGGGGCTTCTGGGCAACCCTTTGTGACATCTTCACCTGTGCCTTCATCCATCCCCAGTATGCAGAGCACTAATTAGATGCTGTATGGACAAAATGGGCCCATGCCTGCTGTCAACAGGCTGACAGTCTAGGGGAACAGACATGAAATGAACATAGAATTACGAATGATGTCGGCAGCCTGGAGGGAAAAGCAGGGGACTTATGTTACCAGTAGGTAACATAACAAGACTGGAAGAAGGGGTCAGAGCTTCTCTGGGGAAGTGACATTTCATCTAAGAACTGAAAGACAAGTAAGTATGAGCCAGAGGCCTGTCCCATGCAGGGGATGCAGAGAGGCCTATGGGGACCAGGCCACAGGGAGCTCTCAGAAGCCAGGGGATAGAGTTTGGGTTTTGTTCCAAGTGCAAAGGGGAATCACTGGAAATTCTAAGTGTGAAGTTAGAGGATCTGATGCTCGGATTATTGGTTTTTAAAACCACTCCCACACCAGGAACGTCTGAGAAACTATCACAGCTACGGGGAAGGTGGCTGACTACATATACTGTGGGGTCCTCGATGGGATTCTGGAACAGAAGAAAGACATTAGGTAAAAACTAAACAAATATGAATCAAGCATGGATTCACTAAATAATAATGTATCAATACTGGTTCATTAATAATAACACTGTGCCATACTAATGCAAGGTGTAAATAGGAGGGGAAACTGGGTGTGGGGTATAGGGAACTCTCCACTATTGTCCTTTTTTTTTTCCTACAAATCTACGATTATTATTTTTTTAAAAACCCAACCAAACAAAGAAGCAGAACAAAAGCACTTAGGCCAGCCTGGAGGGGCAAGGTGGAAGTGGGCAGCCAGTCCCTGTCCTTCCCCCTTACAGGAGGGAATGCTTCTCACCTTGGGGAGAGTGGTGGCATCAGGGCTGAGAAGCAGAATCGTATCTGTAGCTTCCCATGCCCACCTACCAAGGGAGAACTCCAGGAGCCCTATAAAGGATGCATTTCACTCATGCCCGTAATCCCTCCACTTGGGGAGGCTGAGGTAGGAGGATTGTTTGAGCCTAGGAGTTCGAGACCAGCCTGGGCAACACAGCAAGACCACATCTCTATAAAAAATAAAACAATTAGCTGGGCATGGTGTTGTGCACCTGTAGTCCTGGCTGTTCTGGAGGCTGAGGTGGAAGGATCACATGAGCTCAGGAGTTCGAGGCTGCAGTGAGCTATGATCGTGCCACTGCATTCCAGCCTGGGTAACAGCAAGACCCTGTCTCAAAAGAAAAAAAGGACGTGTTTCAGTTACGACATCTCTGGCCACGGGCCAGGCCTCTGCACGGAAACAGTGTTCTCTAGAGTGCCTTCCAATAGGGTCATAAAAAATCAACTTCATGGTTTGCAAAACAGAAGAGAAAAATGTCAGAATCCCTCCCAGGTAGACAGGGTAAGTATCCTCTCAGGAAGCGTTTGTTTCAGTTGTGTGTGGCTGTACCAGCAGGTGTGCATGCACGTGCATCTGTGTGCATACATGTGCATGTGTACACCAGGAATGCACTTCTTCCTGTGGATTGCCATCAAAGGAGCTGGCAAGCTGCTGCTCTGGAGCCCGCTTGGTAGATTCAGAGCTCTTTGTAACAATAATAAAATCATGATTAATAGTAACAGCAACACCTAGAGTTTGCTGAGTGCTTACTCTGTACTAAGCATGTACACTGCCCATCTTACTTAATTCTCACTAAAGGTCTCTCAGGAGGTATTACTATTAGTCCCATTTTTGTTGACAGGTACACTGAGAAATTATTTATGTGACTGGTAACTAAAAGAGTGGGGCTGTGGTTTCAGCCCCTAGAAGGGGCACTGGCAGAGAATGATGGTTAGGTGGCGGCTAAAAGGAGGAAGGACCTGCCTCCTGACCAGCGGCCCTGGGTCAGGCACTGGGACCTTACCTGGCCGCTGCCGGCTGCACAGCTTCCCCTGCAGCTCAGGGATTTGGTTGAGCAGATCCTGAGGGTCTGAGTAGACCATCACATGCTTTGGGCTGCCCGTGATCTCCTCCAGCTCTGCCCGCACGGCCTCACTGCCTACACCCAGCAGGAGCAGCTCTCGCGCCCTTGCGTGACGCGCTGGGCCCGCGACCTCATCCTCGGAGCGTGACTCAGTGAGCAAAACCACCACTCTGCGTGGCCGGTCCTGGCCCGTCCTGGTGGCGCTCCCAAAGCCACGGTCTGCCGCCTGCCGCAAGGCACTGCCCATCAGGGTGGGGCCACCACGGAAGGGAATGCCATCAAGGCTCCTGACCAGGTCAGGCACATCCTGGTACTCCCCAACAGGCACCGCCACCAGCAGCTCCCTGCTGTACGTGGCCACACCCACTCGGGCCCGAGAGTCCTCACTCAGCACGGCCTGCACAAACTGCTTCACGAAGGCTTTGGCCCGCAGGAAGCCGTCCAGAGCGGTGCCCGCAGAGCTGTCCAGCAGGAAGAGAAGGTCGACCCTGCATTCCAGGCTCAGCTTCGGGGCTGCGGGGATCACAGCAACACCCACAGTCAAGCCATGGCCATGCAGCATGCGATCTGTCCCACCCGAGACGCCAAACTACCACGCAGGGCAGGAGAAACCCCGTCCCAGGAGGGAGATGGGGCAGAGAAACTGTGGGCCCCCAAGCTTAAGTGACTGGTGCTCGTCTCAGAGTTAGAGACAAGGCCAGACACGGCACTCCTGGCACTTGCTAAGGGTCTCCATTTAGCCACTTAAAAAAAACAAAATGCCATCTACATTATCACTTTTTTCCATTATGGTTAGTCCAGTGTGTGCCCTGAGAAATCTTTGTTTACCTCAAGATCATGAATATATGCTCCTGTGTTTGCTTCTAGAGGCTTCACTGCTTTGCCTTTTGCATGGAGGTCTATAGCCATGCTAGAATTGACTTCTGGAAGGGTTGTGAGGTACAGGGTCAAGATTAATTTTTTCATATAGATCTTCAACTAACCCAGTTGTCACGTTTTTAAAAGTTACTGTTCAGCAAGCCCTTATATGCATCAAGCATGATACTAAGCACTTTGCATAATCTTATTTAAAACTCTCAACCACCCAATGAGGTAAAGCCTACTATTATCTTCATTTCACACCTAAAATCAAAAGGAGTTGGGGCTCCTTTCTCTGCTTTCATAGAATAGAGAAGAAAAGACTCTGCCCAGGACTGGGAGCCAGAATTGGGTAGACTCCTGCCTTCAGCTGGGCTGGGCAGCACTCAAACTTCAAGCAATGACCATTCTGCAGCTAATAAGCTGGGAGCTACTGTCTCCTCCAGAGCTCAGCCACCCGAATTATCTACTCACGGAACACTGAGAGGCTGCACCACGTGAACCGCAGACCAGTGGTGCACTGAAAAGCAGATGGCTTGAGGGCCAGTTTCTAGCCAGAAGCTGGAAGGGTGTGCAGTAAAAAGGGGAGCCTGTCCTCTCCTTGCTCCCCAGTGGGCAGTCTTACAGGGCCGGTGCATACCTACCACAGTTAGCCTCCCCTCCAAAGGCCAGCGGGCAGAGGCATTGGTACCCGTCCAGTCCTTCTGGAACACACGTGCCTCCATTCTGGCAGGGCTGCGAGTCACAGGGGCCTATCAGAGAGATGCCCATTAACCGCTAAGCACCATAGCACAGAGGAGTAGAGAGGAGTAGAGAGGACTGGCCAGAGGTGTGGGTGCAGCTGGTTTCCTGCTCTAACAGTGGCCAGCCCCTTCCTTCCCTCACAGTTCACCAGGAAACCTGTAGCAGAGGGGAAAGCACTGCCGAGTTCATAGAGGAGGAGCTGGGCACGGTTGGTAAAGGATGCTCTGTAGCAGGCTTTGTAAGGTGCTGTGTGCTGAACTGGTGTCAGACTGGAGCTTGACAAGGAGGAAGCTGTCCGTGACATCAAGTGTGGGTGCCTCAAGGCTGAGAGAGAGCTGCGGTGCCAATGGGGCCCCGTCTTCTAAGCTCTACACAGGCTTGTCTTAATGGCCTCTGCGCCTGGCACAGCAAAACACACCAGCCTTCGGATCCTGCGGTCAGGCTGCTCAGCACTGAATGTGGCCCTTCCACTTCCTCCAGCACCTTAATTAACATCTCCCATCTTCATATCCTCATCTCAAAAGGAGTGATGGGAACTGAACTTGTTCTGTGGGGTTATCACGAGGATTAAATTAATTAATCCGCAGAAAGTCTCAGTACTAAAAAAACACTCCCCAACAGGTAATGACAGTATTGACTTTTAGATATGAGACGCAAATTATGAGCAAGGCCTCTTCAAAGCTGGAAGTTTACATGGGAAACCACAGCCTGTGTCAAAATCTGACCCATTCTGAAGTGTCTGATCTATGATTCCCTGTGCTCCATGCCTGAGCATCTCATCACTTTCCTTGACAATTATTACAAAATGCAGCTAAAACCACATGACCTCCTTCCCAGGGTTACAGAAAACAAACAGGGTCTTCATGTGATTGTGTATTCCAAGGGCTGGAGAAGCAGCTGAGTGTGGTCACAATTGGGACTGGCATTTTCTTGTCCTTTTTGCTTAAAAATATTAATCTGTTACTTGATGGCCATATCATTATAATTAAAGTATAGACTTTTCAAAGGCAGAAGAGATTAAGGCTAAGTCTAGGCACCTCACTGGGGCTGCGGTTGTATCAGTCGGGAGACTGGAAATAACTGGAGGCTCACTGACATTGGCAACAGTGGCCTTTAACTGAGCATCTATTATGTGCCAGGGACTGTGCTAAGCACAATACACTGCTTTTCTCATTTCACTGTTACAACCTTAGGTAGGAACTATAAAAACCCTATATGACAGATGAGGAAGCTGAAGCTAAATGAATAGAAGTCACATGCCCTAGGTCAGATCATTGGTAAGAGGTAGAGCTGGGATTGAAAGCCATTGCACTCTAGTTTCTAAACCATAAGTCATCAAACCTTAATTACTGAGCAGAAACAGCTCCACTCTCAGATTCCCCTATGCTTCAGAGGCCGTGGTGCTGGAACTGCAAACCGTGAGAACATACTGAAGGGATCACCTAACCCCAAATAGGGACGCTCACTACCCTGCCTGTGTGTCTAACTGCTGGCATTGCTTCCGGGAGACGGGCTACTCATCAGGAGTAGCAAATCCACCCCAGGACTGACACCTACACATTCAAGTGCAATTTTGAGCTCCCAGGTCAGTGGGGTCACTAGCACCCCAGGTGAGGGATGGTGAGGGACCGTGAGGGCACACTGGGGAACCATGCTGAATGATGCATAATGGCATCGATGATTCCTCACGTTAATTTGGGATTTTACAGCTGAGGGATTACTTCCATGGGCATTATCTACCAAATCTTCACCAGGACCTCATATACGATGCCTCCTTTTATATGGAGGAGGGAAACGGGCTTCCGGACATCGGGTAAACATCGCCCCATTTTATAGAGGAGGAAATCATTCAGGTATCTTGCCCTGAGTTTGGTGCTGGCTTTGAGGATGTCTGCAAAGCTGGTGCTCGGTGCCTGCCTTTCTCTGCCTCTCACCAATGCACATAACACTGGTTCAGGGGAGTAATCCCAAAGCCGCCACTCCATTCTTAATGAGCAAACACCATGGAGTGAGTGAAGAGCACACTCTCCTCTGCCCACCAGGCGCCCCATCCCTCCGTCCTGGAGCCAGTCGCAACCCCACCCTCTGTCCCAGGATTGTAAAATCCCCTTTACAAAGCAGCCTGGGTCCAGGGCCCTGAAAGAACCGGTAATCCAAGAGGCAGATCATACCTGGGCAGGTGGTCCTGTAGCAGGTAGCAGGGTGGGCTAGGAACACTCTCTTCCAGCTACAATCCAAGGAAACAGAATGATAGACAGATCAGAGGTGTAAGGGGAGGGCAGAAACGTAAGATGATTTACAACACCAAAAGCTGATGGAAGATTCCAGTGCAGAAGAAAGAAAGATTTCCTGGTTTTCTTTCTTGATTCTACCCTAACTTTTCTCTGCACATAGAGTAGGAAATGTTTCAAACTATCCAGTGACAATTAATTAAAAAAAAAAAAAAAAAAAAAAAAGGCTAGGTGTGGTGGCTCACGCCTGTAATCCCAACACTTTGGAGGCCAAGGTGGGCAGATCACTTGAGGTCAGGAGTTCGAGGCCAGCCTGGCCAACATGGTGAAACCCCACCTCTACTAAAAATAAAAAATTAGCTGGGCATAGTGTGCCTATAATCCCAGCTACTGAGGAGCCTGAGGCAGGAGAATCGCTTGAACCCGGGAGGTAGAGGTTGCAGTGAGCCGAGATCGCGCCACTGCACTCCAGCCTGGGCAACAGAGTAAGACTCCATCTCAAAAAGGGAAAAAAAAAAAGAAAAAGAGGTAACATAAGCTGGCTATCACATTTGAAGATAGAGACATCCACATGCAAAACCTCAAACTGTAGCCAACAGCTTTTTATTATAAGTTACTTTCTAAGGCTCACAATGCAGTAGGGAGAGAAATATTGGGAAATGGGCAACTGGATTTTGGCTGTGTGACCACAGACATGTTACTTTCCTCCTCTGGTCTTCACTTTCTTCTTTGTATAGTAATTCTATCTGCAGTTTTCAACTGTATTTCTTAAAGCTTTGATGGGGAGAGAAGAGGACTGAAGGAACAAGGCTCCAGGCCTCCCGCAGTGCCCCAGCCCCACCCCTCCACCCCAGGTGTGCTGCTTCTATCTGGTCTGCACAACAAGTGTCCACACGAGGCTCTGCAGGTGAAGACATGCGAGCCACTGGGCTCAATGACTTCTCAGGTCTGCTGGAGAACTAACGTTCTGTGATAACACAGCAGCCACCATTCCTGCGGTGGCTTCCACCCGCGGGTGTTCCATTAACCACAGCTACCTGAAGAGATGGTTCCCTCCATGTTCCAGATAGGGAAATGGGTTCTGAGGGCTGACTTAGGTCCCCTGAGGTCACATAGTTACTGGAACACAGCAGAGCTGGGGTCCAAACCCTGACCATGACCCCAAATCCCCCCACTCTGCCCTCTGGGCCTCGTCCTCGCCTCTCCTGAGTCTCCGGGGCCATGTGCCCTGCTGCCACAGGAGCAGTTCCTCATCCGGGGGCAGAAAGCCCACTCTGGGTTGGCAGCAATTCCTGGGACGGCCTCACCTGAGGAGACTCTTGGGCCTTGGCAAAAACATTCCCTAAAGTTCTCCAAATAAGGCTTCTTCCAACAAGATCCTGCCCTGGGCTGCCCACGCCAGGGGCAGGCCAATCAGGTGCTCCTCTAGGGCAGGGTCTTCCCTGGGGTAAAATGGAGTAAAAGCCAAGTCAATTAAGAGCTCATGGAGTTGCTGAAATAAAGGTTGCCAAGGCTGGGCGTGGTAGCTCATGCCTGTAATCCCAGCACTATGAAAGGCCGAGGCAGGAGGATGGCTTGAGCTCAGGAGTTTAAGACAAGCCAGGGCAACATAGTGAGACCCCATCCATATTAAAAAAAAAATTAAAAAAAAAAAAACCTTAAAAATTAGCTGGCCACAGTGGTGCGTGTCTGTAGTCCCAACTACTAAGGAGGCTGAAATGTGAGGATCACTTGAGCCTGGAAGTTCGAGGCTGCACTGAGCCATGATCCTGCCACTGTACTCCATCCTGGTGACAGAGCAAGACCTTGTCTCAAAAAAATGATAACAATAAAAACAAAGTATGCCAAACTGCCAGCTCATTCAAGAGAAATCGTCTTCTCTTCCATGTCTATCCTAGCGACCTCATAATAAAGCCACAAGTCCTAGCCCAGAAAGCTCCCTGGGCCCCTCCCGCTCCCTGACTCAGGCCTCCCTGGGAATCAGCATTTATGGTGCAGACACTACCCACAGGGCTTCGCAGGGACCTGCACACAGTTCGCTCCCCACCTCCCTCAGGTCTGGACACAAATGCCACATGCTCTGCAAGGCCCTCCCTGGCCACTCCATTTCAAACTGTGACCTTGCCCCAGCGCTCCCGCCTACCCCACCACATCTCCGTCTTGCTGTCGTGTTCCTCCACAACACCTGCTACCACTGAACAGTTTATTTTCTGTATTCATTTTGGAATGGCTGCCTCCCATCACTAGAGCATCAGCTTGTGAGGGTAGATGTGTTTCTGAGATGCTGGTGCTGATTCCTGGGTGAGTGCCGGGGAGCACAGGACGCCCTCCGTGGGTATTTCTTGAGTGAGGAAATAGATAAAGAGCTCCCAAATGCTTCATTCTAGGAGCCTGCAATATTAACGCATCTACCTATTAAATCACCGCATGCTCTCAACAACCCTGTAGGGCAGTTATGATTATTATCACACCCCTTTTCAAACGCAGAAACATGCAGTGGTAAGTTCACAGCTCCCTAGTGGTGCTGCTAGGATTAAAAATTCAGCAGGCTGACAGCAGAGTCTGAATGCAAGGCCCAGGAAGTATACACTGCGGCCACCAGCCTCTCCCACCTGCTCCCGGCTCTGGCCACCTTGCCCACCGCCAGTTCCAAATCTTGCAAAACTGCTCGAGTGGCCCCTTCTCTGTGACATCCCAGAGAGGACAGACTCCACCCCAGCACCTAGGATGCCTCAGGGTGGCCTCTGGTCTCCTTTTCCAATGCCCTGCTCTAGACCACGATTCCTTGGGGGCAGCAACTGTGCTGTCTCCTTATCACATATTGCCGGCTGAGCGGGCACTTAGAACGTGGCCATCAAGGAACAAATCAACTCCTCCTTTCACTTAAGAGCTTGGGTTGTGAGCAGAGCCTCTGGTGGCCCCGATGTGGCATAAGGCCCCATCTCCTCTGACCCTCTTGTAGGGGACTGACCTTTCCCAGAGAAACAGTCTTTGGATTTTCCATCAGCCCAGCACAGCCCTGAGGCTTCTCAGCTAATCAATTTCACTGCTGTGTGCTGTGCTATGAGCTCATCGCTGGAGGAGGACCAATGGGCAAGATGTAGCTGATTCAAACACTGCCGTGGACCCCCAGGAAGGGAGAGTAGCAGGGTCACTGGACTCCGGACAGAGATGCTGAATGGCAGATAGTCTAAAGGAATGGCGTGGGGAGTGTTTGGGAGGGATGGGCTGGCGGCCGGGCAGCAGGTGCTCTTGGGTGCCTGGGCTCAGCATCCCACAGCTGAGAGCCCAGCATCCCACAGCCTCCCTGAATGGAATTCATCTTGATCCTCCTGCCTCACTCAGCCCCCATATTGTGGAAACTGGTGCTCAGAGGAACCAAATTACCAAATCAATATCACAAGTGGAGACCACTGCCCTGCAGGGTCAGCGCTTGGCTCACTCACCAGCCTTCCAGAATGCCTGTGACCCTGCCACCGGCGCTCGCCCTGGGTGCCTGGGCTGTGAATTAAGGGATGCTGATACCGAGTAGCTGTACCTCTCCCTGTTCTCCCATGGCTATGTCCTTGGTTCCCTCCCAGGTCTGCTTCAATCCCCGTCACAGTCTCCATGGCGGGGCCCCAAAGTGCTATCCTCCCCACAGCTCAGGGGTGGGGGCCTTCATCTCCACCCAGGCCGAGCCCAGAGCTTGCAGACCAACCTGTAGAAGGGACAGTGTGCAGCCAGCACCGCAGGGGCCCGCCGCGATCCTCTCCAGCATGGGGCATTGCCAGCGAACTCCCGGACCATCTCCAGCGTCCTGCGCTCACAGGGGTGCGCTTCGACCCTGCAGTCTGTGTCCACAACACACACCCGCACCCACGGAGGAGACAGGGTTCCACCTCCTCCCGCCACACACGATCCCCCAGCGGCTGCTCCCGCTCCTGGGAGTTTTCACCACACCCCCAGGCTAGCCACCTTCCGCTCTCTCAGGTCAGGGCACATCTCCAGGTGAGCGGCCCTGCTCTGCCTGTTCAGCGGGGCATCCAGTCTCTAAGCATCTCCTCTGCTGGGCCCCACCCGACAGAGCTTTTACATAATGTGCACACATGTACACTCCACATAATGTCATCACTCTGGCTCCTGGGTGGACCCTGACAAGGACAACTAGAATGCAGGGATCTTGCACCAAGCAGAAAGCCTCCTTGTGCTCCTCTGTGTGGACCAAGGCAGGGGCAGGAGACTTGGCTCTCTCTTGAGCAGGGGACAGGGAACCTACTACGTCTGAGTCTCAAGCCCTGGGCCTCTCTACCTCCATGAAGACAAGCTCGGGGCTCCCAGCTGGGAAACCCACAGGGCAAGGCACAGGGAGACAGCAGAGTGCCCAGGGTGGAGGCTGCCGGTCTCTCTCTCTCTTGCCTGCTCTCCCTCCCTGGGAGGCTCCTGGGTCCTGACCTCTTGCCTCAGGGAGCCCTCCCTGACCCCACATGGCACTTCCGCTCCCTCCAGGCTGGAAGGTCTTACCTGGCGTGGTGCTGGAACAGATGGCAGAGTTGCTGAGGGTGCTGAAGAGGCCGTTGGTGGCGTCCTCCACCTGCTCAGCCAACAGCACATGCTGCTCTCTCGGCTCGCTGGCCAGGGCATGCAGCTCCTCCCACCTGTGCCAAGGGGTTGTGACAGCTTGTGGCCCTGTACCCACCCTTCTCCTGCCCACTCATCTCCTAGGCCATGGGTTCCTTGTGGATGGCAGCACAGATTTAGTGTCTGGTTTTGTCAGACCCATAGCTGGTGAGGAAAACAGTTAACCAGAATGGAAATGAAAGAAAGTGGTTCTAGGTGACAGCAAGTAAAGAACAAGCAAGCATAGCTGGTAACAGAATGCATCTGTACCCTCCTCTCTTCTAGGAAAGCCTATTTGCCCAGCAGCTAGACAAATGGGGTAAAGGGGAGTGGCCAGCCAGAATCCCCCTCCCCTGGCCCCAAGTGTGGGCTCTGCCTCAGGTTGATTAGAGGGTTTTCTTGCATTGTTAAAACTGTGGAAAGGGGTCTTTTCTCTCCAGGGTGGAGCTCTGAAGACGTGAGCTGGGCACCATCCGCAGCTCCAGTTCCAGCTTCCTAAGAAAGTCAGGGTAAGAGAGGAGGCAACAGGCAGAGAACAGCAGAGATGTGTGGAAGAATCTTGATCACACTGAAGTCCCTGGCTCCTGCCCACCCCGAGGGACCCCCATCCCACCCAGTGAATGGGATGATTCCATGAATTTCCATTTTTGCCCAAATAAATTTCAGCAGAGTTTCTGGTACTTGCAACCAAGTGTTCAAACAAAACCAAAGTCAATGCAAATGCTTAGGCTCCCAAAGATCGAAGCTTCCTGTGCACTGGAGCCAAAATGGCAAAGTGAGGAAAAGACAGATCCAGGGAAGGACCCGGACAGCTCTTCCAGTCCCCTCCCTTCCCATGGCCATGACACCATCCCCAGGCTGACCACCTGAGGGCTTGTTCCAGGGTGACTGAGGCTCTTACCTGGGAAACCTGACCCCCACAGCAAACACAGTGACACCCTTTTCCTTCAGCTGCTTGGCTGGCAGTGCCACATGTCCCTGGGATTTCCCATCAGTGACGATGACAAGGATCTGGGGCACAGAGGCATTTCTGCCTCCAGGAAACCCTCTGTTCAGAAGGTATTTCAGAGCAAGTCCTGTATCCGTGTGCCCTCCTCTGTGCACACCCAGAAGGAAAAAAGAAGCAAAGTGAGTGATGCGAGGAGGTGAAGTTGGGATGAGAGCCTGAAATCGATGGGCTCTTCCGTTATTAGCAAAAGGTCACCTTCTCCTAGCAGAGGCTCAAAGTGATAGTTCTACCATCTAAACCACAACAACAATGAACAGAAATTACTTTTTCCATGCACTTGAGATTCACCCTGCAAGTCTCTGTTGTATTCTGTAATAATGTCATTCTTTGTGTGTTGGGTGTGTTTTCTCCTCCCCGAGTGATGACTCTGGGCTGACAGCTCTTGTCATTTGTCTGATACCTGCCTCCCATCTCCTCATCCCTGCGTCATCTCTTTCTTGTTATGGCTCAACATCTTGGGTTGGGAAAGCAGATAACTGAGCTTAGGAAAACTGTGTGAGGAAGGATCCGTAAGAGTGAAGGACAGGGCTTCAAGGCAAAGGTGTGATGAGTCTTTTCTGTGATCCAGGCCTTTGTGGGTCATGTCCAGATTCAAGGTTGGGAGCTGGAAGGCTGAGCTGTCTGACCACCTCCAGATCAGGGCAGATTATAGGGGTCCCATCTCATCGGGATGCCAGTGGTGCTCTATTTGCCATGGCTTGAGACTCTCTCATCCTCACAGCTCAGTTATAGGAACTGTTGACTAGTCCTGGAATCCCAGAGCAGTATCTCTGCTAAATCTCAAATTAGGAGACTCCTGTAAGTATCCTGTCAGAGAGAGGACTGCCAGCTTTGAGTGTCAGCTGGACAGAAAATAATGACTCACTACAATGGATTTTAGGTTACTGAATTGTGAGTCAGTCCCTGTTGCAGCCAAACTATTCAGTGGTTTGTAGCCCATCCAAACATGATCAACACTGTGAGGCTGATGGAATTACTGTGGTTATCAACTGTACACACAGAGAAAACCCTGTGGGAGCATTATTCTGTAATAGTGACTAACCACAGACTCTAGATGGGGGGCACATTTACACTCAGATTGCACCAACCATAAATTAAGGCAATGCCTACCTGTAATTCAAACCTAACTATGGTCATTCTTCTAATGTGAAAACATCCAACTGACAAGAGGCATAGGCATTGCCTGCTCTGTGTGTGTGTGTGTGTTTGTGTGTGTTTTTCATGCAAGTCTGACATGAGTCCTCCTGCCCAGGCATCTCTCCTGGTTGGCTTCCCTCCAAGCAGCTACTCAGGAATCCAGGCTCCTTTCATGTTGTGGTTCCACCTTCCCCTCAGTCCTCAAAGTGCTCTCCATTCAGCAGGAAGACAGGCAAAGAGCGTGAAAATTGTGCTTGGGAAGGATTTATAGACCAGCCCTAGAATATTCTTCACTTTTATTGCTTTCTAACACAAGCAAGCTCTTAAAGGGCAGTTTTCTTTGCGGTGCTCCATAAAGTTAAAAAATGTCAACAAGAGCTGACAACTCCTAGAATTAACCGTCTTGCCTACAATATATATATTGACATTTGCATCGGTTAAAAATTCACTTACTTGTTTTCAACCCATGAGTATTTACTATGGATCCACTAGAGGGAAGATAGTGAAATGGAGACCAGGAAGTATAACCACGATCCCGCCCCTTAAAGAACTCCCGGTCTAGTTAAAAATACGGGATCTACAAGACAGCAAGTAAACAGAAATGCAAGGATGCAAATAACAGGAATTCGGAGGAGCAGATTCATTGTGGGGTGCAGCTGTCAGGGAACAGACTTCGGGGGAAAGAGCTTTTAAATGGGGTCTTGGTGAATCCGCTGATGAGGAAAGGAAGAAGCCATCCTGATTACAGGAAGGGGTTAAAGCAAAGACACAGGTGAGCAATGCAACCTGTGTTCTGGAGCTAGTGAGCAGAGCTTGGCTTAGACAATGGGCTTATCAAAGAAAAACAGAGCATAACAACACGGATGAGTCTTCGAAGAGGAAGACTACACCTACGCCACTGACTCCCAAGCGCCCCTAACTCCTCTCACACCCTGCTGGATCACACATTAGATACCGAAGACCACCAACCCAATTCTGATTCCCACTAATACAGTTTCCTTCACCAAAGAGCTCTTATATTTAAAAAGAGTGTTCTTCCAGGGCTCCTGGGAGAGCAGAATGGCTTCCATTTCTAAAGGATAATATTAGCGCTGACATTTTACTTTATGCCAGACACTTCACACACACACCTGTTACTGAATGTAATCCTTACATCCATGGTAAAAAGTGCTAATCTTAACACTTAACAAACGAGGAAACTCCATTCAGAGAACAGTGATAACTGCTAATATTTCCCAGGCATTTAGCATGTGCCACTGTGCTCAACTCTTGTTTATCTATATATGCTTAGCATATTATCATATAATTCTCGCCACAGCTCTCTAGAATAGGGGAGTCCAGAGAAGGGTCTAAACTAAGGTTATGCCACTCATGAGTGGTGAAGGCAGGACTTGAACCCAGGGCCCTCCACTTCCAAAGCCCAAGTTCTTAAACAGATAGTTACATACTCGTGAAGGCACGTGACTCTCATCTGGCTAGTGGAGGTCGGAACTGGAGTTTAAGCCCAGTCTGGTTGATTTTGAAGTTGATGCTCTTTCCTCTCCAGGAGTCAGCTCAATCTGGCCTGCTGTCCATTTTTATAAAGTTTTATTGGAAAATAGCCATACCCACTGATTTATGTACTGTCTACACAGAGAGCATTAGCCTGAAAATACAATTATTTACTATACAAGCTTTTACTGAAAAAGTTTGCCATCCCCTGTTCTAAACTGTCCACCTAAATGCTCACAAAACTTTCTTCTCATCCAAAGCCAAGGTGCTTCGGTGGGCTCTTCCGTTATTAGCAAAAGGTCACCTTCTCCTAGCAGAGGCTCAAAGTGATCGTTCTACCATCTAAACCACAACAACAATGAACAGAAATTACTTTTTCCATGCACTTGAGATTCACCCTGCAAGTTTCTCACAGGGGTCTGCCCTTGGGCCCCTTCAGAGTCAAACTGGTTTTCCTTTCCATCTACCACCTTCAGGGGAAGGCTTGGGTTTCATCCAGATTTTGTTTTCTTGTTTTTTGAGACGGAGTCTCACTCTGTCACCCAGGCTGGAGTGCCGTGGCGTACTCTCAGCTCACTGCAACCTCCATCTCCCGGGTTTAAGCGATTCTCCTGCCTCAGCCTCCCGAGTAGCTGGGACTACAGGCACTCACCACTATGCCCTGCTAATGTTTGTATTTTTAGTAGAGACAGGGTTTCACCGTGTTGGCCAGGCTGGTCTCGAACTCCTGACCTCAGGTGATCCACCTGCCCTGGCCTCCCAGAGTGCTGGGATTACAGGTGTGAACCACCACATCTGGCCCATTCAGATTTTCTAGTGGGTCTGGGCCTCCCTCTTCACAACTATCAGACTGTGGTTACAGAGAAATTAAATTTCAGGGACATGAGAGCCCAGGCTGCCCACCACACAGGCCTTCCCATTGCTCAGCAGTGATACCGATGCTGTCACCCTCTCTACCTCAGCACCCTGTGAAGGCTTCCCCACAAGAACCCCGTCTGCTGGCTTGCGACCAAGGTAAGGTGAGATTCCTCATGGCTGGACCTCTGAGACGTGAGAAGAAACCTCTCCGCTTACTCCAGGAAGCATTTCTGCCTGAGAGTCTGTTCTGAGCTCAGCATCTACTTCCACATTTAACCAATGAGGAAACCCCACTCAGAGAATAGTGGTAATAACTGCTAATATTTCCTGGCCACTTAGCACGTGCCAGATGCTGTGCTCAACCTATGTTTATCTACAAACGCTTAGCATATTCTCATATAATTCTCACCACAGCTCTCTGGAATAGGAGAGTCCAGAGAAGGGTGTAAACTAAGGTTATGCCGCTCATGAGTGGTGAAGGCAGGACTTGAACCCAGACAGGGGGGCTCTGAGGCCAGAGTCTCACCAGGATTTTTCTAATTTCTCTCAAATTGGACTAAACTAGGTTACAAGATGAAAGTTCACAGATCAGCTACTGTCTTGGGGGTGATGACTGCCATGCATGAACTTTTGGAGAGGGGTGGTGGGAGGGCTAGAATCAAAACATTTTGCTATCAGTACAGACAAGTAATTAAGAACATGAGTTCCAGAGGTGGAGGGGCTCAAATATTAGTTTTGCAATATCTTAGCAGGTAAACTTGGAAAAGTTACTTGACCTGAGTCCCAGTTTCCTTCCACGTTAAAAGGGGAAAGAAATAGTATTGTTAGAGGATGAAATGCTGGGTCCAGCGCCTCTGAGGACCTAGTGGGTGGCTGTTACCAAAATGAACCCACAGCGGCCTACTGTAAGAAGTTTATCTTTTGAGTCTAGTCTCAAATTCTAGTGTTCATAAAAATCTCTCAGGAGACTTAATGATGTGGATTTTCAGGTCCTATTCCCTGACAGTCCAAATTGGTGGGTCTGCAACCTGGCCTGAGAATCTAGATTTCAAACCAGCACTCCCTCTCTCTCCCTCCCTCACCTCCCTGAAAGTCATTCTGATGTCAGCAGGCCATGAAACAGACTATGAAAAATAATTCATAAGGGGCCAGGCACTGTGGCTCATGCCTGTCATCTCAGCATTTTGGGAGACCGAGGTGGGCGGATCACCTGAGGTCAGGAGTTAGAGACCATCCTGGCCAACATGGTGAAACCTCATCTCTACTAAAAATACAAAAAAAGAAAAAAATTAGCCAGGTATGGTGGCAGGGGCCTGTAATCCAGCTATCGGGAGGCTGAGGCAGGAGAATCGCTTGAAACAGGTAGGCGGAGGTTGCAGTGAGCTGATATCGCCCCCACTGCGTTCCAGTCTGGGTGACAGAGAAAGACCCTGTCTTAACAATAATAATAATTCATAAAAACCCAGCTGGTGCGGTGGCTCACTACTGTAATCCCAGCACTTTGGGAGGCCAAAGCGGGTGGATCACCTGAGGTCAGGAGTTCAAGACCAGCCTGGTCAAGATGGTGAAACCCCATCTCTACTAAAAATACAAAAATTAGC